TCTTTCACATATGATTTTCAAGTTTTCCCGACACTGTTTATTGAAGACACTGTCTTTTCCCCATTGTATTTCCTTCTCTCCTTTGCCATAGATTAATTGCCCATATAAATGTGGGTTCATTTCTAGGCTCTCTGTTCTGTTTCGTTGATCTCTATGTCTGTTTTTGTGCCATTCCCATGCTGTTTTGATTGCTGTAGCTTTATAGTATAGTTTGAAATCAGATAGCATGATATCTCCAGCTTTGTTGTTCTTCCTCAAGATTGTTTTGGTTCTTTGGCATCTTTGTGTTTTCATACAAATTTTAGAATTATTTTTTCTAGTTCTGTGAAAAATGCAATTGGTATTTTAATAGGGATTGCATTGAATCTGTAGATTGTCTTAGGTAATATGGTCATTTTAACAAAATTAATTCTTCTAATCCATGAGCCTGGTATATCTTTTCATCTCTTTGTGTTGTCTTCAGTTTCTTTCAACAGTGTCTTATAGTTTTCTGAGTATAGGTCTTTATCTCCTTAATTAGATTTATTCTGGGAGATCCCTGCTGGTCTAGTGGTTAGGATTCTTGGCTTTCACTGCTGCAGCCTGGGTTCAATCCCTGGTTGGGGAACTGAGATCCCACAAACCACATGGTATGGCCAAAAAAACCCCTCAAAAAACCTATCTAAGTTTAAAAAAAGAGATTTATTCCTAGGTATTTTATTCTTTTTAAATGTGATTGTAAATGGGATTTTTATTCTTAATTTCTCTCTCGGATAGTTCTATGTTCGCGTATAGAAGTGCAACAGATTCCTCTATATTAATTTTGTATCTTGCAACTTTACCAAATTCACTGATGTGCTCTAGAAGTGTTTTGGTGGTGTCTTGTTATCTGCAAACAGTGACAGTTTTACTTTGTACTCTCCAATTTCTTCCTTTACTTCTTTTTTTGTTAATAAATTTATTTATTTTTGGCTGCGTTGGGTCTTTGTTGCTGTGCACGGGCTTTCTCTAGTTGCGGCGAGAGGGGACTACTCTTTGTTGTGGTGCGTGGGCTTCTCATTGTGGTGGCTTCTCTTGTTGTGGAGCACAGGCTCTAGGAGCATGGGCTTCAGTAGTTGTAGCACGTGGGCTCAGTAGTTGTGGCTTGCAGGCTCTAGAGCACAGGCTCAGTAGTTGTGGCGCACAGGCTTAGTTGCTCCATGGCATGTGGGATCTTCCTGGACCAGGGCTCAAACCTGTGTCCCCTGCATTGGCAGGCAGATTCTTAACCACTGTGCCACCAGGGAAGCCCCCTTTACTTCTTTAAGCATGGTTTCCGTTAGTTATTTGAACATATTTACAAAGGACGCTTTGAAATCTTTGTTAAATTCCACATGTGGGTTCTCTCATAGACAGTTTCTGTTGCCTGCCTTTTTCCCTCTGTATGGGTCACACTTTCCTGTTTCTTTGCATGTTTCATAATTTTTTTTGAAAATTGGACATTTTATATAATATATTGTAGCATCTCTAGGTATACTGACCCCTACCCCGAACCTGATTGTTTATTTGTTTTGTGACTTAGTTGGCTCTTTTAGTGAAGTACATTTCTCCCTGCAGCATGAAGCCTCTGATGTTGATCCTGAATGGGTACAGCCTTAGGGATCACACCCAGCTGTTAGGCTCCACTAATTTTCAGCTGATTGCTCTATTTTTTAAAAAATATTTTTTTATTTATTTAATTTTTTTATTTTCCTTTTTTTTTTTTTTTTTGCTGCATCAGGTCTTAGTTGCAGCACATGGGGTCTTCGTTGAGGCATGTGGGATCTTTTTGTTACAGTGAGCGGTCTCTTTGTTGTGGTGCTCGGGCTTCTCTCTAGTTGTGGTGTGCGGGTTTTCTCTCTCTAGTTATGGCGTGAGGGTTCCAGAGTGCGTGGGCTCTGTAGTTTGCGGCATGTGGGCTCTCTTGTTGAGGCATGCGAGCTCAATAATTGTGGTGCACGGGCTTAGTTGCCCTGCGGCATGTGGAAACTTAGTTCACCGACCAGGGATCGAACCCACATCCCCTGCATTGGGAGGAGGATTCTTTACCACTGGACCACCAGGGAAGTCCCTGCTTTATTGTTTTTGACAATGCTCTGTATCATCATTTGCTCCACACTCTGTTTCCACTAAAGTCAGTTCTTTTGAAGGGGAGCTTTGGAGTTTACTGTTTTTATGACCTGCCTTTCACCTTGGGCAAAATCTCTGAGTCACTCTTCTGAATCTAGGGGTGGGAACAGTGGCCTGCTTCTCTTAGAGTGACATCTCTGTTTTGTGAGCAGGGTGCTGGGTAGGGACTGTAACCTCTGGTCTTCTTAGCTTTCCTCTCCTAGTGTGGAACCCCTGCATTATGAGTGAGCTGGGGTGAGGGCAGTCAGGGCCCCCACATCTTTGGCCTGCCCAACCTGCAGTAGAGCCTCTGCTCTATGAGTGGGGTCTGGGTAGAGAAAGGGAGCACCCTACTTCTGGGCTGCACTCACTTGGGATCTAGTGTCTGTAGCACATAGCTAGGGGTGATGAGAAATGCTCGTTACCTGCTCTTATTGGGGAGATACTGCAGCTCTTGACTGGGAGCTAGAGGAGAGAGAGCCTCGTTTTCTTATCCACATCTGGAGATTTTGTTACACTGAGCTGGGAAAAGGGTAAAGGAGAAGGTGGTGGCTCAGATGCCACAAACTCTCACTGTTTTTACTGAGATTTAGTAAATTTTCTAGAATAAATCTTCATTTGTCATATGCCCTTAGGACAATTTCTAGAGACTTCAGATGATTGATTTAGCAATCTTTTTTTAAAAATTAATTAATTAATTAATTTATGGCAGTGTTGGGTCTTCGTTGCTGCACGAGGGCTTTCTCTAGTTGCGGCGAGCGGGGGCTGCTCTTCCTTGCAGTGCGTGGGCTTCATATTTTGGTGGCTTCTCTTGTTGCAGAGCACGGGCTCTAGGCATGCGGGCTTCAGTAGTTGTGGCACGTGGGCTCAGTAGTTGTGGCTCACGGGCTCTAGAGTGCAGGCTCAGTAGCTGTGGTGCACGGGCTTAGTTGCTCCGTGGCATGTGGGATCTTCCCAGACCAGGGCTTGAACCAGTGTTCCCTGCATTGGCAGGCAGATTCTTAACCACTGCATCACCAGGAAAGCCCTGATTTAGCAATCTTTACCAGTTTTGGTTGTTTTCTGGGGAAAGGGTCTGTGGAGCTTCTCATGGCACCATTTTTCTCAGTAATGCCCTCAGTTCCCATGATTTTTGTTTTCTCATATTTGTGGCCTTTTGCAGTCCCTTCCCACACTAGATAGGCTAACCTGTGTAACCATTAGGATATGGCAGAAATTATCACAAAAGCTAGTTCACAAAAACATTGCAGCTTCTACCCTGTACCTCCTTCCTGGGTCACTTGCTCTGGGGGAAGCCAGCTGTCTTGTCATGAGGACAAGCAGCCCAATGGTGGGGTCCTCCTGGCAAGCAACTGAGGCCTCCTTCCAAAAGCCAGCCCAAACTTGCCAGGCATACAAATCAACCATCTTGGGAGCAGATCCTCCAGCGTGTCAAGCCTTCAGATGACTTCAAATGACCAGCTGACGTCTTGACTGTGACCTCACAAGAGACCCCAATCCAGAACTACCTAACTAAGCTGCCCCGGGATTCCTGACCCACAGAACACTGACATAACACACACTTAGGTTTTGAGCTATGAAATTTTGGGTAATTTGTTATGTAGCAGTAGGTAGTTAATACATGATCTTGGGTAAGACCCTTCTCTTACGTTCTTCAGTTCCTTCATCTGAAAAACATTTTTGGACTAGATCCATAGTTTCCAACTGTCTGCAAGGAGCCCTATGATTTCATAGTGATGGGTAACAGGCTACCATGTGGGGCAAAGGGGAGGCCAAGTGGGCCTCCAGACTCCAGGCAAAGCAGCTCCACTTTTCTCTCTCTCTTATAAACTGGGCTTCAATGTAAGATTTAATTTGAAGAAAGAGTCTGTTTTTTGTTATCTTTGCTTTTGGGTTTTTTTTATGTTTTATGATTTCTTCAATCTTACATGCTTATTTTGATTTAGTTTCCCATCTTGAAATGGGCATTTCATAAGGCCCTGTATTTCTAGTGTCTCTGATCATACAGTATAAGGAATGCTACACAACAAACCTCTAATTGTTCAGAGGGGAATCTCTCTGGAGAGGGGAGGGGACTTTTCCAAAGTTACACAGTAATTTAGTGACCAAGTGAGGAATGGAATATAGGTCTCCTGACTCCCAGAAGAGATTATCTACACTAATGAAATGGAGCTATCATAAAGAAAAGTATTTTAAAAAATAAATCTTCAAAAAGCAAAGACTAGAACTTGACTTTGTTCAAGCACGAGAGAAGAAAGTAAAAACAACAAATAAAAGACTCAGGACATGCTGTCCTACAGGAAGCTGGCTTGCTCATAAAGATAAATCATACAGGCGTAGAGATTAATGTTGGGAATCAAAGAGAACTTACATAGAGTTGCCTGGCATAGTTAGTCATTATTTATTGTGCAGTGTGGCGATCAGGCAATTCAGCAAGCTCCTATGGGGTGCTAGGCAGAGCTTGGGCTGGGACACAGACGTAAGCCATATATATATGGCTTTATGTAGTGTTAAAAGTTTTCAATAGTTGCTTATATTAAAAAATAAGTAGATTTCTGGTCTCTTTTGAATAATTGGCAAATCTGGGCTGACATTGCTGCATGGGGGCCTTGGCTGGAGCTAAGTAGTAGCTGCCCCTAGAGCTGGGGTCTGAGCATTGCAGTTTCCTTCAGTCTCCCCCAACCCATTCCCTGTTGTTTCCCCTCTGAGGCCACCTGCTAGCTGCCCTTTATCACTCTGCTTGTGCTGTTATTTTTCTTAGAGTATTTTCTTATACCTCTCTTCACTTATTTACCCACGTGACCCCAGCAAGGATCTGATTTTGAGACAACCCCCCGACCCCGCCCCTGTCCCGGACTATTTCCCTCCCTTCTTCCCTTGCACACAGAACTCACTGGAGGCGTGGCGCTTGACTTTGACCTGTGGGTCTGCCCGATGGGACTTCTCACTGCAGGTGGAGGCATGGCGCTTGATCTGGGCTCCAGAGGGACGCTCAGGCTCCTCGTCCTGGGTGAGAGATGGAAGAAGGTAAAGTGTGGGTAGGCTCAGAATCCTCAGTGTAGGTGCTTTCTGGTGCGCGCTCAGTGGCTGAGTACTACATGACCTCTGAGATCTTGGCCTTACATTTTTAGATGTGTGCAGCCCTCAACAGTTTATAAACCAGTTGCACTAGCAGTGTATTACTTGATCCTCATACCTTCTTGTGGGGGGCAGCAGAAGGCAACCCTAAACTGGAATTTCTGCTGAGAGGAAAATTAGGAAGTCTCAAAAGACCGTGGGTGACCATATTTGATTTATCATAGATATTTTTGTCCTCACATCATTTGGACATATCCTTCAAGTTTTCCAAATTGCTAATATAAAGCCTTAAGTTAAAAAAAAAGTCATAGATGAGATCAGCCAATGGTAGAAGTGACATAACTTAATAGACTGGCTATACGTTTTTGCATGGAGAGTCGTGAGAACACTCAAAATTTTGTCAAAGCTCAGGAAACCATGAGTGGAATATGATAATAATGTCATACAGTACTGCTGTCGATAACAACAGTACTATTTACTCCTCTGTATAAGACCTTCCAATGTCCAGGTACTGTGCTAAGTTTTTTCCATAAAGCATTTCATTTAGTTTTTGCAATAGTCCTATCAGGTAGCTTCTATCATATTTATGTGGAGCCAGGAAGTGAGGACCAGATAAATGAAGCCCAAGGTAACTTGGACTCAGCCCTGAGTGCAAGGTTCATGTCCTTAAGCACTAAGCTGTCTTGCTACTAAACTCTGCAGCTGAGAGCAGTCTCAAGCTGCATCTACTGGTTCATATGAGTCTGAAGAAAGACCATACAGACAGAAGGATGGCTGGAGAAGTTTCTAGTAGCAAAGGGAGTCCTAGAGGTGAGAGCTCAGAGTGTCATCCAGCACTGTCCAAGGCAGGGGTCCTGGCCCGCAAACACATCTGCTTTCCTTGGCAGCTTGATTCCCTCTCTCTCTCCTCTAGCTGTGAGGCCTGACCCACCAACCACTGTCTGATCAGAATGTCATCATGTCATCCTCTGGCTCTCCCGTGGCAGGAGAAGCCACAGGGCATGCTGCGGAGCAGTATGGGTCAAGTGATGGCTACAGGGGCCTCACTGTAAATTAATAAGCTGGCATCTCCTTGGTTTAGTGAGCAAGACAGGAGAGTGTCCTGGGAGCTGAAGCCTAGACTGTGGTTGCCACCAGGTAAAGGCCTCTGGGGGCAGCCACCCAGTTATCATCCCCCTGAGACACTACTGAATCAGTCAATTCACAGAGCAGTAAACGGGGGTGGACAGTCCAACACCTTGCTCAGACTGGAGCAGTGCTTTATAGATGCAGAGCGCTTTCTTCTTCCTGGTCAGGGGATCTTTCCACTGCACTGCTCAGTCTCCTGTTCCGGAGATTCTTTCCCCTGAGCCATGGTCTGTCGTAAGAAGGTCCCCTCTCCCCCGCCTTCTAGCTGCTGGTTAAATGAGAATGATCTCTCTGAGGCAAAGGAAAAAAGGAGTAGTGAGGGAGAGCTAATAAGTGGCTTTTGCCATGTTCCCCGAAGTTCCAATGGACCGTACCTGCATCTTTTCATAAGGAACATCATCGTAGACTCGGGGCTCAGGCCACTGATCCTGGCAGGATCTTGCATATCTAGAAGATACAAGGGACGATGATGATGATGGTGACAGTGATACTTATGCAGCTTACAGTGCTTTCCTGTCCATTCTCTCATTTGATTCTGGCAGCACCTTTTAATGGAGGTCAGAAAGTTAGTGATAGCAACCATGCCAGGCAGCACTAGGACATTGATGTGTTAAGAGCTTTATAGGCAGGGACCCGTGGGATTCTCATAACAACTCAGGAAGCAGGTGATTCATCACCTCCATTTTATAAGCGAGAAAACAGAGGATCCAGGCTGGCAAGCAACCAGCCCAAGCTGTTGGTCGTGATAGAGCCGTGACTTGAATATGGTACTTTTAATGCCAAACTCTGCACACCAGCCCTGTGCCTGCCCAGAAGCTCAAGGGTATGGGGACGCTAAGTTTCCATGGCATGAGAGCAGAGCGCAGGCCACTGTACAAAAAAGCTTCTCCTTTCTGGCTCATTCCGTCCACAGTGTCCCCTGACCCTGGGCTACCTCCTTTAAGCAGCTCACTCCTGCCTGCTAGAAGAGGAAGGCACCCACTCTGACTTTCCAAGGAAGCAGCCTTTCTCAGCCCTTCCTCCCTCCCCTCCCATTCCCAAAGCTGGACTCCGCCTCTGAGAGGGAGCTGAGATAGGCAAGGTTGTGGGTGGCTGTGGGCCATGGGGTGCCGGCCCTCACAGGAAGGAGTTGCGCCCTGCACTGACGATGCTGGTTAAGGTCTCCACGTCCACGTAGTCATAATGCAGCGCTTCGGGAGTGACTTTGGAGCCCATCTCCACCAGCAGCAGCCCGAGCCAGCGGCCCATGTCCTCGGAGCAGCTTGCCTGAGGGAGAGGAGGCACAAGCTGGGTTCACTTTGGCACCATCAGAGCCTCTGGCTACCTGCTCACTTCAGCCAAACCCATATTCATATAGTATCTGTTACGTACCCAATACTTAGGGATCCAAGAGGAGCAAGACTAGAACACACATCCAGAAACCCAAGTGGCTCCCACCTTCCCTCTATTCAGGTCTTTGCTCTAAGGCTACCTCCTCAGAGAAGCCCTCCCTGACTACCTCTCTAAGACACATAACCTCACTCACTGTCCTCAGAGCCTTTCTGACCATTTGGATATGAAAACAAAATTCAGGTGTTCTCTGAATTTTTTTTTTAATATTTGCTTTTTATTAAATGAGGAGGCTATTTATCACATAACCCAATCAGATATTTTTCTTGTATTATAAATGCCAATTATATATAGTACTGTATACAGGAAAATCTCCAAGAAGTTGCTGGTCAACTAAACATATACTTATGTTCTTATTTAAAGAGCATCATTATAAAATCAAGTTAGCACACAAATACTGAATTTAAAAAGCACACTTTTTGCCAGAAAGCTCTTTGTTTAACTGAAGAGAAATAAGAGACCCATCTCAAACTATCAAAAGTAAAAGTGACTTACAGAGTCAATATTTCCTGAAATTTAAGAACTGACACAGGCAGTGGGTACTGGGCAAAGAAAACAAGACCAAGAGGCTGGGTCTTAGTTCTAGGAAAAGATTAGAGGCCATTGATCCTCTGTGGAGCTTTGGATGAGGCACATGCCTACCCTGGCCTCAGTTTTCTTATCTGTAATGTGAGGGGGTAGTTGTTTAAGTTTTCCTCCCAGTTAATATTTTAAGTTCTAAATAGCTGAAGGACTGACATGTAAAAAGAGAGTCAGCATATTCTGGGTGACCCCCGAGAGGAGGGCTGGTGCTGGTGGGTAGGTATGAAAAATGAATGGGTGAAATGAAATCGCATTGTCATTCAGCCATTTGTTCAACAGATCTTAATTGAGCCCTTAGTATGCGCTGGACATGATGGTGGGTTCTGGAAAAACAAAAGTATGCAGAACAGGTGTGGTCACTGCCTTCACAGAGCTTAGGATTGCAACTCAATATGGAGAAAATCTTCGTAAAAATTTAGTTGCTTGGTGGGAGGAGCAAGCTACTTTGAAGGGCAGTGGTTTATCTGAGGCGAACAGTCACTGGTGGGAAGTAAATTTTAGAGAGGATTCCAGAATCAGATTGGAGTTAGATCAGACTAAATACCTTTCAGGTTTGGGATTATATTTCTAAGGCAGAATAAACAAACCTTGGGTCTAGGGTTGCCAGATTTAACAAATAAAAATGCAGAATTCTCTGTTAAATTCGAGATTCAGATAAACAGTGAATCATTTTTTAGTATAGGTATGTCCCAAATATGGGATGTACTTATATTAAAAAGAATTATTTGTTGTTTATCTGAAATTCAAATTTAAGTGGGTGTTCTATAGTTTAACCAGCAACTCTGTTGGTTACTTGGCAACAGTTGGCTTACTTTCCCTCTTCTTTAGTCCCTATAATGTCAGTAGCAAGGTACTGTGGACAAAAGCCAAAGTCCAGGCCAGAGCTCCTGTCACCTCCTACCACCAAGGCCCACCTGAATTTTCTCCTCTCACCTCCAAGATGGCGACCTCCTGCCGGTTGCGCAGGATCCTGAAGGCAAATGGGTGTCTGGGCCCAAAGCTTGGGGCCACCTCACAACCGTGGAGGGTGATAGCATTCACGTGGGTCCGCAGGTCCGTGCGGTCCTTATGGAAATACAAGGTGTTGCACTTTAGGCGGCACCAGCGTTCCTTCCAGCCATGGTTCACCAGCACATTCAGGTAACCTGGGAGGGGGAGACCAGTGGTGTGACCTCCTAACAGCCCTGGGGGATACAAGTCAGGATGCGTGGGTCTACACCCCGGGGACAGAGCACTTGGATAACCCTTGTCCTCTAGCTGGAAAGAAGGCCTTCTGGGTCCCGGATCAGCTCACTCGTGGCCTGTGACCTCAGGCATCCTCTTCTGTCTCTGAGTTTCAGTTTGTTATCTATGAAATGGGGACTGATAATCATATTTGTACACGCACAGCCTTTAGACTATACCAAGCTTGATGAAAAGGACAGAACTACCATACAGAGTGAATAAAAGACACAACTCTTCCTCTTGCCTTTCCTCCTAAAATGTCAAAACTCTTACTGAAGACAGAAAATAATGGGTGATGCTGACATCTGGTGGCAGCATGTGGGAACAAAAACATCTAGCCAAGATAAAGAATTATAAAACTTGTAAGGGACAGGCTGATGGCTGACGAGTTTAGAATTCCCTCAGCGTTTTAGATTTTAACTTATTTTTTACCATAACATGTCCTGATCCACTTACAAAATATTTCTTTATAGCCATGTGCTTTTATAATATTCTTTCCAGGTTAGCGGAATATTACTGTTTATCTAAAATACATGATTTTCTATTGGATTCCGGTACATGGAAAACTGCATTTAGATAGACAATATGTTTTTTTCCTTCCAAACTCCTTTTAACTCACACTGAATGCATTTCTAATGAAAAGTACTTAAAAATTTTTAAGCAAGAAATATCCTTGTAAGACTGGGCCGTAACTTAAACACCTGGCATATTATGTACTGGGAAGTAAGATACTCTCCTCATAGTAGAGGAAGCTGAGGCCCAGAGGTGGGCAGTGATTGACACTAAGGTCACAGGGAGAATAGAAATTAGAGTCAGTTGGCTTTTCCTTCTGTTAGGCGTCAGGGCTTCATGGAGGAGAAGTGATGGGAGGGCATGGATTATTGATGGAGTGGGGGTTAGCCTCCCAGTAGGAGGATTCTGTCCTCTGCCTTGGGAGTGAGGTAGGTTAGGCCTGGAGGGTCTCCTGGCTTGGCTCCAGGAGCCCTCATCAACAGGATCTGAATTCACCTCCCCATGCCCGGTACCCACCACAGCATGGAACCTCCTCCTCGGTAGAGGATGTCTGCAGGTCATCGGCCAGTGCCTTCTTCTTAGAGAAGCTGATGATACGGGTGATCTTGCGGCCCGCAACCCTGCTCATTGAGCCCTTCAGCTCTGACAGGCTGCTCTTCTTCCCTTTGCCTGTTGCCATGGAGGTGGGTTAGGGGAAGGGAGGGAGCCCCAAGTCCCAGATCCACCCGCCCCTAGCCCTTCCCCCCAACCTTTCAGCCTGCACAGAGGGCTTGGCCTACAGCTCCAGGTATGGATAGGCCAGGTCACATCACCTAGGTCTCCAGAGTGGTCAGGACCTGCTCTGCACTGTGTGCTTGTGGCAGGCCTCTCCCAGCTCTAGCATTTTCCCGCCTGAGCCCCCAGAGGCTCCTACCGTGTTCGCGGCCAAGGGTGGAACAGTTGTCGCTCAGGCCCATGCTGTCGGAATCCGAGGTCTGCTTCTCTTGGGACAGCCTCTGGGGAGGGACACAGACAGCCCCCTATCAGAGGGCACACTTAGAAAGTTCTCCTTTGTTGGTTCAGTCTCCCCCTGACCCCTGTACATGAGGATTAGCTAACAAATATTTGTCAGCAACTGTCATGTGCTTGATACCGTACTGGTACGAGGAGGACAACGATGACTTAGGATGGTTGTGTCTTCCAGTTACTCACAGTCTATTTGGGGAGTGAGGAATTCAATATAACGGAGTGAGATTAATGTCCTAGGAGTTTGGACTACATTTGGTAGATGGGGAGCTGAGAAGGTATTTAAGCGGGACACTAATGGAGTTGGTTTTGGAAGCTGCCCCCAGCGGCATCATGGGGGTGGATAAGAGGGGGGCAAGACTGGAAGCAAAAGAGGCACTTAGAGTGTCATCCTGGGCAAGCTGAGACTTGATAGGGGGATGAACCAAGCGACAGTGAGGATGGAGAAAAAGACATGAGTTGGCATTTTCAAAATAGTTATGACAGGACTTGGTGACCAGTAAATGTGAGTGGTGATGAGAAAGGAGTCCATTACAATTCTAGCTTGGGTGAGAGGATGGTAAGACGCACATACACAGCATGGTAACAACTTCATTGTCAGCCAACATTAATTTTTACTCATTATGCCAACTCTGGACCAGTCATTCATTCATTCCTATTAGGGAGTGGTGCAGAGTAGTCAGATGGATCTTGGAAGAAATGAAGTCTCTACTTAGCTGTGGGAATGTGGGAAAATCCTTTCATCTCCCCAAGGCTTCTCACTTGAATTACAACCCTTTCAGTGGGCTGCTGTGAGGTACCAGGGAACGGGCCCAAGTGAAACTGTGAGGCCAACAGACTGTATCATTTCTAACACCTGTGTGGTATGCGGCCATCTCACTTTAAGAAGCTAAATTATGCCAGCCAGACTCAGGACAAGACTAAAATGACACCCATCCACTTAAAAAGGTGGACTTACAGAGCTCTGAAGCCCCTAAACCTTTCCTGCCTAGGATACCCCAGACCAGGCTCAGGGATGCTTTGCTGTAAGCATAGTACTAGAAAGCAGGGGGAGATAAGAGAGGCCATGTACTCCCCCCAATTTCCAAAGGCTGGAAAACTGGCAACTGTCAGAAATTGGTTAGAACTGTCAAGTATAAAGAATCACCCCTGTAAATTGTGAGACAGAAGTTATGGTTCTATTCTGTGATGGTGTACAGATTGTAAGTTTTTCATCAAGATAGAAAGCAAATACAAAGAAACACTGTGAGCACTTTGGAATTGACTTGATGATGACACCTCAATCACAGGAGTCCATGGAGAGACAGAGCCACCTATACCACGTCCTCACTCCCACTCTTCTCCAACAATACCACGCTAAACATTTTAGCTACCCTCCCCCGTACACTCAGCCACAGGAGAGCCCATCTCTACAGGCTTGCCTCTTCCTCCCCTCTACCCACCCTCTGAAATGCACCACCGCCTGCAGCTGCAGGTGTGTGTACACACACACTCTCTCTTTCACACTCACACACACTCTTTCACACACACACACTCTTTCACACTCATACACACACACGCACATCCTCAACACTGCTTTCCTTCAGCCTCCACTAATGGCAAAGGCCGAGTGAGCCCTCCACCATTCCTCTCCTAATGACTCTGCTGACCCCACCTTTGCTTCTGCTGCTCCCTTCCCTTGCAGCCCCTGTCCCTTGGTCCACCTCTGCCCCAGTGGGGCAGAGTCTTGCCCATTCTTTAAGGCTCAACATAGGTGCCCAACCTCCCTAACGCCTCTTGCCCCTCCAGCCAGCATGAGCCCTTTTCCCCTCACTACGGCTTTCCAGGACAGTCGAATAGAGTTGACACGTTCCCCTTCTCTCTGAACCCATCCACACTGGCCTCTTTCCGTCCATGCTTCTTCCTGCTCCAGGGCCTGTTCTCCCTGCTTGGAATGCCTTTTCCCTCCCCCTCCTCACTAATTTTTCACCCTTCTCTGAATTGTGCTCCCTCAGGAAAGCCTTTCTTGACCCTGAGACAAGATCAGCCCCTGTCATGTGCTCCCAGGGTACCTGGTACTTTTCCTCCCTGGCGCTTACACAGCTTGGCATTTCTAAGTCTATGTGATTGGATTCATGTCTGAACCCCTTGCTGGGAGGGCAGGGGGTGTGTCTGTTACTGTTAGGACTGCACCCAGTGCCTAGCACAGTACCCAATGCACGGCAGATGCTAACTACTCGTCCAGTGGAGCTCAGGAAGCTCCCCTTGAGAGGCAGGCTGGCGGTGTGTAAATCAGTTAGCTCTGTTCCTTATTAACTATATGTGACTTTGGGCAAACCTCTCTGTGCCTTGGCTTCCTCTTCTGAAAATGTAGTTTATCAGAGTTGCTGTAGAAATTAAATTAGGTAATGCACGTAAAGCATTTAGGACAGTCCTGGCCACACAGTCATATTTTCTATAATGCTAGCCTTTATTATGTCATGTGAGACCCATGTAACGGGAGTCTTTTTTTTTTTTTTTTTTTGCGGTACGCGGGCCTCTCACTGTTGTGGCCTCTCCCGTTTCAGAGCACAGGCTCCGGATGCGCAGGCTCAGCAGCCATGGCTCACGGGCCCAACGCTCCGTGGCATGTGGGATCTTCCCGGACCGGGGCACGAACCCGTGTCCCCTGCATCGGCAGGCGGACTCTCAACCACTGTGCCACCAGGGAAGCCCTGTATGGGAGTCTTAACTCTCCCCTTAGGATTTGGGGTGGAGTCCCTTGATCACCCACAGCACCTGGTGAAGCATAGGCAAGCATATGTTTGCCATTGGCCTGACAGACTATGAAACAACTGTTTCACTTATGTGCCAGTGGGGCACACTCCTTCTCTGACTAATTTCAATTTAGTTTGCATGGCTCAGTTCCAACGTGACCTCTTCCTGTCCTGGCAGGGTAGTCACTCCCTCTTCAGGCTTGTACTGCACCTTGGACACAGGCATTCATTCATTCATGAATTCAGTAGACATTTATTGAATGCCTACTGTCAATGCCTGGCTTTACCACCAGCCTGCGAGTCCCCTGGGGCAGAGCCCGTGCGGAATCCCCACTGCCTGGCCCAGAGGGAACCTTGAGAAGACAGAGGTACCTTGTCCAGGTCCACCTTGCACAGGAGGACTGGGGATCTGGGCACATCTGCCCCCTCAGCACCCCCAACGGACTTGCTGACCTCTCGGATGACCTGTGGAGAGGACACACATCTGTGAGCAGGTGGGCAGGGACTCTGTGGAGGCAAAAGCAAGAATGGGGTCTGTTGGTCAGGACCATCAGGCAGAGCAGCTGGGATCACTGGGTGGAAGAGATGGGTTGATGTGGCCTCCTGCCCCATTTGTGGGGCACGTCAGGATCTGAACAGGCTTTCTCCTTTGTCTGTCCCTTGAATTGGGCCCAGAGGCTTGGCTTTTAGACCTGGTGCCATTACTAATTAGTTGCGTGGCCTTGGGAAAGCCATTTCCCCTCTCTGGGCCTTAGTTTCCCCATCTGTAACATGGGGATATTAGTGGTCCTCTGCTTATTACGTCCTTGGGTGTGTGAGGACCAGTGAGATGATGGGTGTGAAGGGCCATGTGAACCAGGATGCCCTGCACAGGCATGAGGACTCGCTTCTGTGACATGTTGGAACTTTACAACAACCTGCAGGGCAGCCAGGGTTATTCTCTCCATTTCAAAGATGTGGAAACTGAGACTCCAAGGCATTCACCTGAGGCCATGCAGCACAAGCATCCAGACCATGAAACGATAACGGACCACTTGCTGCTCATCTGTCAGGTGGCTTTGCGTGGATTATCCCATTGTATCCCCACAGCAGCCTTGTGGGGCAGGGCCACCTTGATCCCCAAATTACAGATTAGGATGATGAGGCTCTGAGAGGCGAAGCCATGGCTGCCTGCCCTATCCTCTGGGCTAACTGGCGTGCCAAGGCAGGCCTCTTAACTCTAGGTCTAGGGCTTCTTCTTCTGACCCAACCAGCCCCTTGAGGACAGAGCACTCTCCCCCACCCCCACCCCAGCATGCAGGTTCTCTCTCTTCCTTCCCCTCCTGAGACAAAGGCAGTAATGAGAAACAGTAAACATCCCAGTGGGAGAGCTGGTTATCACAGGAAGGAAGGGAGGATGGGGAGGGAGGGAAGGAGGGGTTTGGTTTCTTTGTTCCAGCAGGAAGATCAGAGGAGGGGAGAGCTGCTGTAAGGGCCTGGGGGTGAGGGCTTCACCATCACTGCAGAGTAGTCACTGGCAGTTACTCAGGACTTACTGCCTGGCAGGCCCTATATGAAGTACTCTCTAGAATCCTTACAAGAACCATTTTATAGAGGAAGAAACTGAGGCACAGGGAAGCAAAGTCCTTTGCAGAAGATCACACAGCCAGTAAATGCCACTTAGGTCTGGGACTTGAACTCAAGTCTGTGTGGCACCCAAGTCCTCCCTTGTCATCAGTATGCCACCCTGCCTGTCACCTTTGGAGTAGGTTTCCTTATTTGCTTCTAATTCTTGCCCGAACCACTTGGTGGTTGACCTTGGGTGAGTCACAGAAGCTCTTTGTGCCTCAGTTTCCTCATCTGTAAAATGGGAACAATATTAGTCCCACTGTGAATAGTAAATGAAGTCATGTGTATAAAGCTCTTAGCACAATGCATGGCACAAAGTAAGTGCTCAGTACATGGTAACTCAAATTGTTGTGTAGCTGCAAGATGCAGAGGCTGGGTCATAGGTGGATGTGATAAGTATGCACGTTTCACCTAAGGTAAGAAAGAATTTCTCCTTTATTAAAAGAAGAAAAAGGATTAGCTTGTCTAATGATAAAATCAACTTCCTTTGTAGGTATTAAGCTCCTCATTCCTGGAGATGTACGTTGCAGGTAGGATAGACCCACAGTAGGCGTGTTAGAAAGGGGATTCAGATAACTAGAAGGAACACAGGTCTCCAGCCTGAGGTCTGTCTCCTGGAGATGTCCGAAGCCCATTTCCACATAAAGCCCTAGCTTTATGTGAAGGGCACTGACCCCCTCTCCCCTGAGCAAGGCCTGTTCTTCCAGTGACAGGGGCCCACTCCATTGAGGGCTGGGTCCGGGGAAGAGAGGAAGGAAGGAGGGAGTGGGGGTAGGTGAAGGCACAGCCCCCCTGTACCTTCAGCCACTCCTCGGCCTGCTCCCGGCTCTGCAGTGCCAGCACCAGGACTTCGGTAGCCCCCTGGGAGAAGCGCAGCTCGTGCCTCTTGTGCCGGCTGTCCTTGGGCACGTAGATGACGTTGCAGACATCCAGCGCTAGCCTCAGATGTGGCTGCCGGTCCTTGGAGCTTTTGTAACACTGGACAGGAATAGAAGGGGTTAGGGCCTCCTGGAGCGGAGAGTAGAGGGAGGAGACAGGGAAACTCAACCTACCCCACAGAGACCTCCCCACCCAGTCTAGCTGTGGGCACTGCATGAAGACAGGGGCTGTTCACCACAGAGAGGAGAAGCCTGGGAGGGGCATCTTTGGGCAATCTCCAGATCTCAAGGGCCACTGAGTGGTCCCAGGGGTCACAACTACCTATTTAGGAAGAGGCAGATTTTAGCACAATACTAGGAAGACCGTTTTAGTCTAAAGAACCAGAGAAGAAACAGGCTGTCTTGGGAGGAAGCCAGCTCCCTGCTATTAATGGGCTACATGACAGAAATGTGGGGGAGAGAATTCTAGCAGAGATGGAGGGTTGGGCTTGGGAAGTCAATAGTTTATCAATAATGATTCTCACTTCCCAATTCTTATTATCAGGCTAACATTACCTTGATACCAGCACCTGACAATGACATTACAAAAAAGGAAATCATAGGCTAATCTCTCTCGTAACATAGTTGTAAAAACTAAAACAAAATATTAGCATATAGAATCCAGACACACATAAAAATGTATTGCATAGAGACCAAGTGGGGTTTATTCTAGGAGTGCAAGAGTGGGTTATCATTCAAAAACTAACTGTATAATTCATCATATTAACAGAAAAAAGGAGAAAAATCATATATCCTAATAGAAGCAGAAAAAATATTTGATAAAATTCTGCACCCGGGCTTCCCTGGTGGCGCAGTGGTTGAGAGCCGCCTGCCGATGCAGGGGACACGGGTTCATGCCCCGGTCCGGGAAGATCCCACATGCTGCGGAGCAGCTAGGCCCGTGAGTCATGGTCGCTGAGCCTGCGCATCCGGAGCCTGTGCTCCGCAACGGGAGAGGCCACAACAGTGAGAAGCCCACACACCGAAAAAAAAAAAAAAAATTCTGCACCCATTTGTACCATAAACTCTTAGCAGACTCTTAGAGGAGAACTTGCTTAATGTGATAATAAGGAACACCTACAAAAAACCCATGGCAAACATCAGCTTTGATGGTGAATTATTGAACTTTCCTTCGAGATCTGGATTGAGACAAGAATGCCTGCTCTCACCACTTCTATTTACATTGTACTGGAGGTCCTAGGCAGTACACTAAGTCAAGAAAAAGATAGAAGGCATAAGGTGTGGAAAGAAGTAAGTCATGATTCTTGGCCTGGTTCTGGCCTGGGATGAGCTTTTCACTGCTGCAGCGTGAGAAAAGGTCATGTTTCAAATGTATGTATGTTCGGTAAGACTTGCCAATAGGTAAACAGCCTATCTCATTTTTTTTTTTCCTGAAATTATGTCCATCCTTATACTTTGGAAGTAAAGGTACATTTCTTTTATGAAATGCTAGTGATGAGAGATGGTGAATTAAAAAAAAAGTTTAAAAAAGCAAGTTATATAATAACAAGTATTACATGGGCTGAGTTTTAGAAAAGACAGATGTATGGAAATGAGGGTGGAAGTTTATACATCAAAATCTAACTGTGGTTAGCTGTTGGTCAACAGGGTTAGGTGGGTTCTTTTTAAAAAATCATTTTTCATTTTATTTTCTTCTGGCTTTATAAATAAATACATTTACTTGCATAATGAAAAATGATAAACATTGTTTTAAAGTGATAAAAAATTCATGTCTGGCAAAACAAAACTTGATAAAGTCTTTATCAGGTCTTCAGGTTTTGTTTTGTTTTTTAATTCTTCTCGGGCGGGAGAGCCCTGACCGCAGAAGCACCGGGCTTTGAGCCTCTGTGCACAAAGCAAACCTAGAGGAACCGAGGCAGACATGCCTGAATGCACACAGATACACAGACACACGCGCAGGCACATGCAAGTCCACGTGAGGCCGAGAGGCACTCGTCTGTGGCCACTCACCAGGAGCCGGTCCTCCTTGATGACGGTCAGCTGCTTGGCCCACTGCCCGAAGCGCTTTTTCCGCAGCAGGAAGGCACATATCCTGCAGTCCCTCACCAGGTGCATGGAGGCCTCCTCTGAAGGCCAGTGGTGTGTGGGCTGCGGCCCTTTCCCTTCCTCCTCCTCCTCATCATAGGACTCATAGGAGCTGCTCATGGCGTCAGAGTCATTGTCTGCAGGAGCCACGGGAAAGGACCCGTCCCTGTGCCGTCACCGGGTGGGGGGGGCACCTTCTTACCCCTCTGCAGGCATCCCTGCTCTCGGGCCCCGGGGCTGTGAAGGGGTAGGTGTGAGGTGTGATGTTGGTAATGACTAAGCCCCCGCATGGGCACTGTGTCTTACAGATTTACTACTTGCTTTGTGATCTCAGTGACTTCATCTCTCAGAGCTTCAGTTTCCTCATCAATAATAATGAATAATACCTACCTCACTGGGCTATTGTGAACAGCAACAAATACAGAGTGTTTAGCCAAGTGTCTGGCACTCAGTGAGGGCTCAGTAAACATCAGCTTTTGTCTTTACCCATCATCTTTGCATCCAGTCTCAGGTCATTTTCATGGCACCCAGCAAGTCCCCATTTTATACAGAGGAATCTGGAGGCTCAGAGAGAATAAATCACTCACCTAAGGTCAGTCACCAAGAGTCAGGGCAAGGGCTTGGTCTGGGGCTCCTGACTCCCATGCCAGCAGTCTTCCCACTGATTTCCAGGGTCTCTGAGAACAAGGGCTTTGAGGCCTCCGTGGCGACCCCAGGGAGGTGACGGGGTGGTAGGCACGGGCATGCCAAGGTCAGGTCAAGGCCTGCTCTTCGTGAGGACGGAATTGGACTGAACATCCACCTGGTACTTACAAGAGTTCTTCAGCTCCCCATTCATCCTGGTCGCGGGGTAGCTGCTGTCTGCATCCTCGTAGTAGCTGTCCACAATCGAGTGGGCTGGGCTGCAGTCGTCTGTGGGGTTGGCAGAAAGAGCAGTACTTGGAGAAATGCAGGCAGACTCCAGGCGCCAGGGCTGGGGAAGATCGTGGACACCATGCCCTCCTCAGGGAAGAGGGAGGGAAGAGGGAGTAGAGCTTCTTGTCATCACTCCCCGGCCAGGGTGTGGGGCCTCGTCTCAGCATCTCATCTGCTCTAGCTCCACACCTGCCCCCTGTGCTCCTGTCACCAAGAACTGCCTTGCTGGGCCCTGTCACACTTCCAGGCTTATGTTCATGCTATTCTCTGTGCCCTCTTAGCAACTGCTAGAGCATTCCTCACCCTCTAAAACCCAGCTCGAAGATCTTTCCTTTGACCTTCCCAGGCAGAGAGTGGTCAGCCCCTCTCCTCTGACCCCAGAGCATTGGTGTGTGTGGGTGTGTGTCTCAGTCACAGTTCTGGTCCCTGCATTGCAGGGAGTGGTGTCCCAGCACCTGGGCCCAGACCCCCTTTCTATTCTGCCTTTGTCTCATCTTCTTCCACTTCAGCCCCTCCGCTCACTTCTTAATACATCCACGCCCTCCTCTCCTTCTAAATTTCTGTGACTACAGAGGAGGAACTGGGCTAGAGGGGATAATAATAACACATAAAATGGTGAATACATACAACAACACAACAGCTGCCGATGCTGAACTTTGACTTTCCCATTCATGGGAATCAGTGCAGTATAGGAGTGAGGTTATCCCAAATGGTATTCTGTATCACAATTACTGGGGGTCTTTTTATTTATTTATTTTTCTTTTCCATTATAGTTTATTACAAGATATTGATTATAGTTCCCTATGCTATACAGTAGGGCCTTGCTGGTTGTCTATTTTGTATATAGTAGCTTGTATCTGTTAATCCCAAACTCCTAATTTATCCCCCCCCCACCTTTCCCCTTTGGTAACCATAGGTTTGTTTTCTATGTCTGAGTCTGTATCTGTTTTGTAAATAAGTTCATTTGTATCATATTTTAGATTCCACATATAAGTGAAATCATATGGTATTTGTCTTTCTCTGACTTCACTTAGTATGTTAATCTCTAGGTCCATCCACGTTGCTGCAAATGGCATTATTTCATTCTTTTTATGGCTAATATTTCATTGTGTGTATATATACAGATCTATCTATCTGTCTGTCTATCTCTGTATCTCACATCTTCATTACCCATTCATCCGTTGATGGACGTTTAGGTTGCTTCTATGTCTTGGCTATTGTAAATAGTACTGCTATGAACATTGGGGGTACGTGTTATCTTTTCGCATCAGAGTTTTCTCCAGATATATGCCCAAGAGTGGGATTGCTAGATCATATGGTAACTCTATTTTTAGTTTTTTGAGGAACCTCCATATTTTTTCCATAGTGGCTGCACCAATTTACATTCACTGGGGGTCTTTTTAAAATGCAGATCCCTGGACTGTATCCCCAGAGATTCGGATTCACTGATGTGGGCTGAGCTGAGGAATCTGCACTAAGGAAAAAAACTATTTAATAGCATAGTTCTAAACATATGTAAAAAGAGAAAATATATGGAACTCCAAGGAATCAGACTTTTTAAAAACAAGATTATTTTCATACAGATGGTCTCTGGAGCATACTTTGAAGCTCAGTGGATTAAGGGCATGTGCTTTGGGGTTAATCAGATCTGAGTTCAAATCTATCTCCATCATTTACTGAGTGACCTTGGAAAGAAAACAGTTTCTCTGCGTTTCAGATTCTTTACCTATAAATCGACATGAACAGTTCTGACCTTGGATTAGTGATATGATGCATATGAACTCTCAGCACAATGCCTGGCACACAGAACATCCTAGGCAAATACTAGATATCATTATATTTATCATCTCTTTTGATTCCCACAATGCAGGGAGGTGGGTATCAGACCCACTTCACAGATGAAGAAACTGAGGCCACACATTTTGCTAGTGATAGAGCCTGGATCCGAACTGAGGTTTGCCAGCTCGGGGGACAGGTGCACATCCTCTCCTCCAGGAAGCCTTCCTCCTTTCAGACCAACTTGCTCTCACACCACCTGTTCCTCAGACCGCTGCTCTGGGCTCTCAGCCCATGCTGTCCATCTGTTTCTTGAGGACGGCAGCACTCAAATTCCCAGTGACTGGGACACCCAATTATATCTCCCAAGTGAGGCTCAGAGCTTGCTTTTCCCAGGAGGCATTCTGAGGTCTCAGATGCTAGTGACATCCCTGTGAGGTGGCCTGGGGGTGCTCAGGCCAGAGGTGGGGGTGGGGAAGGAGGAGGTGCAAGGGGGAAGAGGGAGGGAGCACCAGGGTCATAGCACTTGGCCACCTGGTAGGCTGGACCCTGTGCGAGAGGAAGGATATTTCCTGTCGGGCTTGGTGCCCTCTCCCTGGATAAGGTCCCTGGCCTTTCCTGAGGCACTCCCTACCCTCCTGCCCCAGGATCCCTGCTGCTCCAGGAGGCAGCTTCTCTGCCCCATCTGAGCTCTCTGGGGACTGGGAGGAGCCTCGCTCAGCTGAGGGGCTGGTCCTGGGATTCAGGGCCCAGCAGCACTTCATCCCCTCCTTCTTCCCCGTCCTCAAGTGGATAAAATAAAGTCACCTGCTTCACATAAACAGCTGCTGGCAGTGACATAGACCCAAGACTATCAAGGCTGAAGGAGGGGCATTGATCACCTGGTCCAACCCCACCATTTCAGTAGTTTTGTTGGAACTAGTTTATTAATCATAAAAATAATATACCATAATAGCCTAAAGGTGGAAACACCCAAATGTCCATCAGCTGACAGATGATAAACAAAATGTGGTATATCCATACTATGGAATATTATTTGTCCATAAAAAGGAAGTACTGATACATGCAATGACATGGATGAACCTTGAAAACACTATGCTAAATAAAATAATCCAGACATAAAAGGCCACATATTGTGTGATTCTATTTAAATGAAATATTCAGATTAGGCAAATCCATAGAGACAGAAAACAGATTGGCTGAGAGAGGAACAGAAAGTGACTGCTTATTGGGTATGGGGTTTCCTTCTGGAGTGGTGAAAATGTTTGGGAACTAGATAGTGGTGATGGCTGCACAGCACTGTGAATGCACTAAATGCCACTGACTGGACACTCTAAAATGGTTGGAGTGGTCAATTTTATGTTATGTGTATTTACCACAACATGGTGAAAAGCACAATCAGTACAGAAGAGTATGAAGGGGAAAATACGTTCCCTTTCACCCAGATTTCTATTCATTTCCTATAGGAAAATACTGTTAAGAGTTTCTTGCATATCCTAGAAAAACTGTTAAATGCATGTGCGTGTGAGTACCCTATTTAAAAACAAATGTGATCTTGTTATATGCAGTATTCTCTTTGATTTTTTTCCAATATATATCTTGGGATTCATTTCTGATCAGCACAGACAGACCTATCTTATGTATTTTTTGGTGGTTGGAGAATATTCCACTGTGCTGCTGAATGATAGGAATAACAACACACAAACATCTTCTAGGTTCAACTACACATGCTGCGTCATCCAAAAACCATAATAGAGTTTCTTGTATGTAATGTTAAGTCCCTATACTCAAGCCAGTAGCACTCGTCTGTGGACTTCCGTCCTAGTGCATTTATATGTGTGTATCTAGCCCCTCTTTCTTATTTTAAGGGTAGGGGAATAGAGGCCCAGAGAGGGGAAGGGGGTTGTCCAAGGTCACATAGAACTGGGACTAGAACCCAAGCCCCTAACCCCCAGGCCATGCCTACTGGCCCACCCAGGCTGTCACTGGAGAAGCCAGGTGCTCTGGTAGCTCCTCCTCAGTAGGTGGGGCATGGCTGAATGGTGCCAGGCTTGGAGCTGCAGCCCCAGCAGGACACACAGGAGCTTCAGGAGATGAGCCTTCTCCTCCGCACGCCCCAGCCCTCAGTGACAAGAACTTACTGTGGGAGCTGATATACTCGGGGGACTTGCCAGGCCCCAGGGGAAGGGCCTCCTCATAGTATTCCTCAGGTGGAGGCCTTTTGGGGAGCGGTGGAGGCAAGTCGGCTGCCTGAAGGAGGACAAAGGAGGTGTGTGAAACCCAGAAGGCCAGGAGAGCAGAGGGGAGCAGGCAGAGTGACAGGGAAGAGGCTGGGGGACAGGGAGCTCCTAGAAGGCAGGATGCAGTCTCTGAATATGAAAGGACGTAATGAGTGGTCAACAATTGGTACCATTTATGGTGATGATGATAGTGAATTATGCAGTTGACAGACAATGTTTGATGTGATTTGGGCCCCTTGTCCTAATTCCATGGCACCAAAGGGTAGGAGCCCTAGATATGATCCAGACCTTCATTTTTGTAGCTGGAAAACTCAGGCTCAGAAACAGGAAGTGATATGCCACACAGCAGAAGGGAGGAGGGCAGAGGCCACCCATCTTGTGACCCAGAGCTTTCCCCATTACTCTTCCTGTGGTACTGAAATCGGAGGTTGGGGTGGGGACGTCCTTTGGGCCTGAAGGGACAGGTCAGTTTACCGCATTATCCCTGCTTGGCACGGGCACAGTGAGCATGTCATGAGTCATTGAAATGTTCTCACAGTGCTTTTTCTGCCCTTGACCACCACACTGAAGAGAGAGACCCCCAGGAGGGTCCCCAGCATTAGCAGGGAGAGCTTCCCTTACCTCCTCCAGAGGAACAGAGGGCCTGAGAGTGTAAGAACTTACGTGTCTCAGAGGTGGGCTCTTGGCTGGCTCAGGGGTGGCTTCTTTGCAGGACTCCCTGTCGTCCTCTGTCATGTCTCGAAGGTCGCTCAGGTCACAGTCTATGAAGGGTCAGGCCATTGGGACAGAGAAAGTGGAGGATGAACATGGCAGAGTGAGAAGAGGGCTAGATTTGGGGTCAGGAAGCTCTACCACCTCCTCCATTAGTGACCCTGGTCAAGCGACTTCATCCCTCTTATCTGTAAAGTGGTCACAATGGTCCCTGCCTTGTCTAGCTCCCAGTGTTATCGAGAGGATCGAATGGGATAATACTGTTTGGTACAGTGCTTTGGAAACTTTCAAGGGTTATGTAATGAAAGCATAGTGTTTTCCCAAAGTCTGTCAGTCTGTAAGTCCTCTCATCTGACCCATAGCTTTCTCCCTGTGTTGAACAGTGCTGTCTTCCCTCAGGATAGATCCGGGATCACACACACCCTGCACGCAGCACTGCTCAGCTGCTCCCACACCCTTGGCGCCTCTGCTAGTCCTCACAGCTCCATTTACTGCTGAGCTGTGGGACCACTCAACTCACAGACCAGGTAGCTACTAAGATGGATGTCAGCAGCAGACGAGACGACGCCCTATGTGCCAGCCTTCTTTGGACTGCGCATTCATCCCTACCTTTCCTCAACTCTCAGGGATGATTTCCCATAACTGTACGGATTTGTCTAGATTTTCAGACCTGGCAGGGCCCAGAAAGGCAAAGGGACTTTCCCAAAGTGACTCAGTGTTGTAATGTTAGAGCCAGGCCCAGAGGCAGGTATTTTCCCGCCCAATCCGGGGACCGTTCCAGAGACTGGGGCAGTGGACACGCACGTGGGGGAAAGGATGGCTTCCGGCGGAGGTCAGGAGAGGGCTGCTTACCAAATTCTTCAAAGAGGGACTCCACAAAGCTGGGCCCGGAATGGAGGTCCGCTGTGTTCACATACAGGTAGGAGACTTCTTTGGCTGTGAGGAAGGAGGAGAGCAGGCCCTCAGTGAGGAGGGGGGGGCCCGGGACCGCTGCTGATGCTGAGGACGGCCACCTCACCCTGCCCACTTGGACTTCTGTCCCACACAGGACACAGCACTCAGGTTGCGAAGCATGTGCATAGCCTAAATCATTTCCCTGCTTTCAAACTTTGTTTCCCTTTTTACATTGTTATTGAGGATCTCCTTCTCCAAGTGAAAGGATGCCCAGAGCCCAGTATAGAGAACAGAGTAGAGGGGCTGCTTTGGGGACAGTTGGCAAACTGCTGCCCCTCTCATCCTCCAACAGTCCTGTGAGGGCGGCCGACGACATCGACCCCTTTTGTCGCTGGGAAGTGAGGCTCAGTGTCACCCAGTGGTGACTTCCCCCATGTCACTCAGACCCCTTCAACCCTGCGGGACACGGTGCAGCTCATGAGAGTTTCCTGAGCTCTTGATGCACACATATCATTTCCTGGGCTCACCTGAGGTTGGGGAAAAGGCTGGAGCAGACGAGGGGGCTTTGCTGCTGAGCACACAGCGAGGCAGAGAGGCTGCGGGGAGTAGAGGGAGAGGCGTGAGTAGAGGTGGGGGCAGGTACGCAGCTTATAAACATGAGGGCGTGTGTGAGTGTGCATCTGAGGGTAGGAGTGTGTGACGTGTATGTGATGAGTATGTGAGTGTGTTGCATGTGAGAGAGCGTGTGGGGTGTGTTGTGTGTGATGTGTGTTTGTTACTATGTCAGGTCTACGTGAGAGCATGTTTTGTGTGTGTGAGTGTGGTAGTAGTGTGTACACGAGTGTGTGTGGCATGTGTGTTGTGTGAGTTTGTAGAGGGCTGGGGATGGAGGAGGACAAAGAGCACAGTCAGGGCTGTGGTGGAGAAGGGCTGGAGTGGATGGGGACGCTGGCTAAACCATGAAGAGAGGTGAATGCCATGCTGTGCAGTTTAGGCTTCCTCCTGCCAGCAGGCCATGGGGAGTTACTGAGGGCTCTGGAGGAGCTCTGTGCGGAGTGCTGATGGCTGACCTGGGAGGGGCTGCAGGCTCTGCAGGATGGAGGCCACAGCCATCTTCTTCTCCAGGGTGGTGTCGCTGAGGTACTCATGGTCCAGGAGGCTGAGCAGCCCTGTGAGCTCGGGGAGCAGCTGCTCCAGCACTGAGGAGGAAGGCCCATGGAGCATGGTCATGGCTCTATGTCCAGGATCTGGGCCCGCCCCCACCCTCCGGGACCCAGGGAAGCAGGGGCCAGAGGACGGGGCCCAGGGCAACAGGGAGACCTCAGAGGCCCTCACACAGCTGTCCCAGCGCTGGCCACCAGCCTCCCTGGGGAGAGCTCTGCTCAGTTAACTGTGACGTTTTTCCGGCCTCCCCACTCTGCCTCAGACCTCATTCTGGGCTTGGCCTGAGGACCGAAATTCCCAGGTAGCCTGAGCGGAGGCACTTAGCCCTCTCTTTGTCCCAGCCTGCCCTCTGCTTTGCAGGCCTAGGGGTCCTTCCTCACTGCAGCTCAAGGGTCAGTGCAGGTCCCAGGCAGGAGCCCTGGCTGTCCAGGACACAAGGCAGGAAGGAAGCCTTCCTGTCCCATCAGTCCATACCCTTCAATCTCTGGAACCTTCTGTTTCCGGTGGCTTGACAGGAGCCAAACTAAACATTAACCCTTCCCACCCCTGGCCAAAAACTCTTGTTGCTCTTCTTTTTTCCATGCTACACCAGTGTTTCTCAAACTTAAGTGTATATAGGAATTACCAGGGGACCTTGTCAAAATGCAGATTCTGACTCAGGAGGTCTGGTATGGGGCCTGAGATTCTGCATTGCTGACAAGCTCCCAGCTAAAACTGATGATGCTGGTCTGAGACCACACAGAGCTGCAAAATCTTAGAGCACAGAGTCCTTTAAAACGACTGGAGCATGCCGAGACCATGATGTCATCAATGTCTCCCTGTCCCAAAGCAGTATCTTGGGACTTGGTTTGCCTTAGAGCTGAAGACCAACTTCTTTACAGTAGTAGTATTGTCCTCCTTTGCAACTTGCCAATCACTTGTGCCTAATAATATGAGCTGACGTGTGTTGAATAAGTATTGCGAGCTGTGCTAAGTCCTTTCATACTTATTGTCTTATTTAAATCTCATAGCGTACATTTTATTATCTCCATTATATGGAGGATACAGCTACGGCTCAGAGAGTTTAAACAACTTCTCCAGCGCCACACAGCCAGCAAAGCTTCAACTGAATCTGGTTCCCTCACTCTATACTTTAAACCATGGCACTAGATCGCTTTGCAGTATTTTATAGGATCCTATCAAGTTTTGAGATTGGTCCGATGATCATGCCCATTTTTTAGGTGAAGAAACCGAGGTTCAGAGAAGATAAGTAACTTGCTTGAAGTTACACAGACAAGCGGAAGAGCCAAGATTTAAGCCCCAGTCTCTTGACTCTCAACTCCACGTGCTTCTCCCCACCAGGGCCCCCCTGAGGAAATGGTGAGACTCTGACTTGCAGCTACAGGTCTGGATGTGTAAGAGGGGCTGTAACATGGTGCATAAGAGAATCAGTCCTGGAGCCAGATTCCCTGGGTTCACGTTCAGGCTCCATTATTCATCAGCTGTGGACCTTTGGCAAGTTACTTAACCTATGACTCAGTTTCCCTCTCTGTAAGGGGATGAAATAACAGCACCGCCTCATAGGGTTGCTGTGAGGATTAATATTGCCATGTGTGGAAACTGCCTTGCTCCGAACATAGTAAATCTTACTGCAAGTCAGCTATGATTACTGTCATTATAGTATCTGCCATGCTGATCTGTGCTGTGAGATGTGAATATCTGTCTCCCTCAGGAAGAGGGAGAGGCCGTGAGGCTCTGTCAAGTGTGAACGGTACTATGAATCTCAGCTTTCTTAGCATCTAGTATGGGGCCTGCTCAGAGTGGGTGCTCTGTGTATGTTAGATGAGAGAGGGAATGGAGAGATGACCACACTAGGACTTCTTTAAAAAATAGAAATTTTATGTACAGAGAGTGGTACTTGTTGGAAAAATGTGATGTCATAATCTCTCTGTGCCATTTCCAACATCACCTCAAATTTGTTGGAAATGAGCTCAAGGCTGATACTGACAGCTACCACCTCGTGGGCTCTCTCTGCCTCTGGGCTCTGAGGTAGGGGCTTTCCACACCATATTTCATCTCATCCCCCCTACACGCCTGTGAATAGGTCCTACTGGGACACCTGTTTTCTAGGAGATGACTTTGAGGCTGAGGGAAGCTGTGGGACAGTTGCACAGCTTGAAAGAGGAGGAGCCAGGCTGATCTTAAGTTTGCGTGATTCCTGGAGCTGCTGTGTTGTACACCTCCAGGCCTCACTCCAGAGCCCACGTGAGGGGCCTCGAGGCCCTGCTCCCTCCAGGGCCGGAGCTCCTGTGGTGCCACTGGGCGAGGGTTCTGGAGGGACAGAGCTCTCTCTTTGAAGTAGGAAATCATTTAAAATCATTTCAGCCAAGTTTTATCTGTTTTGGAGGAAATCTTTTCAAATGGAAACACAAACCTCTCTGGCACCAACAGACACACCAAAAGTCAGTTAACTGTATTCCAAAATATGTCCTGATTCACTCTAATTATGTGCCAGTCTGGCCACTTGGGGGAATTAGAAAATGAGTAACATATTGTTCCAGTGGCATTCTCTCTTTCTCTCTCTCTCTCTCTCTCTCTCTCTCTCTCGTGGCCTGCAGCCATGGTTCATGTTTGAAAATCCATGACGCTGCCGTGCTATCATTTACGAGTGTCAAGGCTATAGGATGCAGTGGCCATTTATCTCTCTAACCAGTGGCTCTGAAACTTTCTGGCCTCAGAATTCCTTTACACTTTTAACAATTATTGAAGACCCCCAAAGAGCTTTTGTTTTGTGGGGGTTATATCTATCAGTATTGAGTTTATTAACACTTAAAACTGAGAAAAACTTAAAACACAAAAGTATATAGTCACACATTCCATTAACCTTCAGAGCTACCACATCATCACACATCATATAACCTTTGGAAAACTCTACTGTGTACCCGTAAGTCAATGAGAGTGAAGAGGGCATATAAGGTCTTAGTACCATATAAAAGTAGATTTGACCCTGGGGACCCCCCAAAGCATCCCTATCCCCAGCCACACCTTTCTGAGAATTGCTGTCCTTCAATAAATGACCTCAGATTGCTAAGCTTTTTGTATTCCTTACATCAGTCAGTCTGTCTGTCTGTCTTTCCCTCCCTCCCTGCTGCCCTTCCTTTATTTCTTTTTTTTGGCTGTGAGGTTCCAAGGATTTCTTGCTGCTCTCAGCAAGTGCCTTGTGGGCAACATTCTGGCTTCTAAAAGCTCTCCTGCTTCTAAAGTAAGAACAATTAGTTTCTGATTGAGTTCTCTGCATTTAAAAACATGAGTCTTAGTACCCAAGCTTTGTAACACCTTTGTTTGTTGTTGTTTTTCCTGGTCCTTGGTGGGATTCCTGACATGGGCCCTTGACTTCTAAGTGTTTTTCATTTAACCGAGTTGTGATCACAAAAGTCCAAACAGAGCAAAGGAGGGAGCTGAGTAATCTGGGAGAAGCACATGGGGAGTCAGGAGCTGCCTGGTCCTAGTGGCACTGGTTTCTGCAGCCTGGGAACTGGCAGGCAGCAGGTGGCGGCAGGAGAGTTACATAGCGATTCTAAAGTACAGTTGGCAGAGGGAGTGTGAGCCCTGGGAGAAGGCTCAGCTTGTAGCATTAATGGACAAGAATCCTTCCTTGAGCTGAGCAGTTACCATTGTGCTGGGCAGTTAATGCACATTATCTCATTTAATCTTCACAAACCACACAAGTCTCTCTATCTATGTTCTAAGCGGGAGGAAACGGAGGCTTAGAGAAGTGAGGTCACCCAGCCAGTAAGCTGTAAGGCCAGGCTCTCTGACTTCAAAGCTTGCACCCCTGTGCCTGAATCCTCCACCAGAGGACTTGGGCTCAGAGAAGGGGAGGCCAGGTGGAACAGGGAGGAGGCGGGTGGTCCCTCAGAGCCTACCTGCTGAGCTGGGTCATGACTTCACTGGGGCTCCTGACCTGGAGGTTCTCTCACTGGATGGATTAGAGACCCTTATTGTGGGGCTGAAATCCTGCTCAGTGGGCCTTTCTCCACTGGGCCCATTGAATTTTAGAGCCCTAAGTGTGTAGATCTCAGAGAAGAAAAACAAGTGACTCAAAGCTTATACCCGACTTACCAGCGGAATGTCATCCCAGGGAGAAACTTATACATCATGGTTAAAAGAAAGCTTCCAGCCAGTGCTCCACTCTTTAAAGACAATACAGAACGCTCCAGCTAGCTTTCAGGTGTGGTGAATACAGATGTGCCTTTGATGGCTTCTTCGTCTTTAACACCAGAGAATTCAAACCACAGGGATTTAAACCATCAAAGAATTTAATTTGGAGAGAAATCATATGCACATAATGATGTAATGCTTATGACAAATGGTCATACCCTCTCCCGGGGGTTTGCTGGAAGTGCAGATTCCTGGGCCTCCTATCTGAGAGTCTGATTCAGTAGGCCCTGTACTGGGACCCAGGAATCTGCATTTTAATGAGTCCTCCAGGTGATTCCAAGGTTCAACCTCTGAAAGATACTCCACCAGAAAACATACTAGAGGGCATGTCTGTGAACATAAAGAATGTGGGAAGACCTCCCTCATTCCTTAAAAAATTATCATTAGCTATCCCCTTCTGAAATAACTGAGAGTCAAGGTGGGAATAAGAGCCCCTACAGAAGATTGCAACTAGCTGGAACGTGGAGTCTTGCTTAGAAGAGCACAGTGATTAGGGCTTTGGGGTGAGACCTCTGTGAATTGGAATTCTTGTGCTGCCATTTCCGAGCTATACAAAGATGGGCACATTAGAGAAGTCTGAGCCATGGTTTTCTCATCTGTAAAGTGAGAATAGGATCCCAATCTCCTAGGCTGGGAGAACTAGGTAAGGTCATGCTTGTAAAGCACTCTGTTTGGTGCTGTGCCTGGAGCCAGCACTCATCAACGAGGCCGTATTATTGTTGTTGCTGCTTCCTAATATTCCCCAGAACTATGCAAACTCCGGAGTATTGACCAGATAGTATTTAGCGACAGATTTGCTATAGTTGTTGTAATGGACTTTACGAGGGCACGTCTTAATCTGTGTTTCAATCATAGTAGATGCCCAGCAAGCATCTATTCGTTGAACACAGTATTTTGATGACCTAGTCCAACCCTCTAATTTCAAAGATGTGGAAAGTGAGGGTTCAAGAGGTTATTTGACTTAGCGACGGTCACGCAACTAATTGAAAATGAGTATCTAGTGTTAAATTTACCCTAGACTTGATGCTTAGATAAGTCACAGAAGAGTGGCTGAGAGCACAGGCTGTGCACAATCCGGGTCCCCCTCCCAGCTCTGCCATTTTCCGCTGTGGGGAAATATCTTAACTTTCCTTAGCGTCCAGTTCTTCATCTGTAAACAGTGGGGGTAAAACAGTAGCTGCTGCGCACGGTCACTGGAGAGATGAAATAAAAAGATACATATGGTGCTCAGCGCACTCAACGGTGTTCCCTCCATTTGTATGTAATCCCCCAGCAGATTCAGGTGTGGTGCTAGGCACAAGGGAGGGGGGTTCCTGGGGCAAGAGGACATTGTGGGACTCTATAAGCCCCACCACGTGGACTGTTCACAGCCCTGGGCCTGACACTGAGCACAGGTGGTTATGGTGGTTGGAGGTGGTAGGGCACTCTTCCTCAGAGTGCTCCCCTCCCAGGGGCCCCCTCCATGCCACGTGGAGGGACAGCACCTTCCAGTTGGAGGGGCAATAATGCAACCCAGAATCCTGTCCCTGCCATCCCCAGTCAGGAAAAATCTCCTTCACCAATTCCTACCCCACCCCCCTCCCACCTTTGCTCCTGGTCCAGGTCATCTCTGCTCTCTGCGGGCAGATAAGGGCATCAGGACAGGGCTGCCTGTTATGACTAGATTTTATTTAGAACCATGAACACATTTCACGGATCTTGTTTAGTTTAGTTGAGCCTTAGGGAGGTACAGTGAATTCCAGTGAGGAAAAACCAGGAAGAAATGGTCTAATCACTGTTTATAAGTCTTCACTCTTTTACCAAGTGGGATAGACAGGCACAGAAACCCAAGAGGGGTGATAGTTGTTCTCTGGGATGCAAAAAAGTTTGCCAAATAAAATTAGAAACCTACTTAAAAATATATCTAAGATTAGTCCACTCTTTGAGTATTGTTCCCGGTAAATACCCAGCTTAAGACTAAGATCAGTTTTCTCTCTGCTCCTCCACCCTCCCCACCTAAGTGAAATCAACATGAGGTGGTAGAGAGCTGAAATTTAAGACACAGACAAAAAGCACTGCCACTTGTTCTCAGGATCGCATCCGCATCCCTGGTGCCGCCTAAGTGAAACCTTTAAGCAAAAGGCCTTCATCACAGCCAGTATGGGTTCTAGTGCAGGGAAGGTCAGATTTATTTAGAGATCTCAAAGGTAATAAGTCTAATTTCCATGACAAAAGTCAAGTGAATAATTCATCTTCAGCAAACCACAAGAATAATAAACCCTGTTTGGGCTCCTACCAAGCTAGCCTGTGGGCACTTTGACTTGTGATCTCATTCCTGTGTCCCGTGCATCGGCAGGCGGACTCTCAACCACTGCACCACCAGGGAAGCCCGCAAGTTACAATTTCATTAAATGCAAAGCAGTAGGAGGAAACCAATTTCTCTTTTCCCCATTTCACTACTTGACAAGCCTCTTTAGGACAAAGATAACTCATCCTTCTTTGTTATCAAAGTCAGAGAAAATGCAACCAGCATGATTTAAAAATGGAAATAGGAAGAGTTGTCAGAATATGGTTTTATGAAGGATATGCAGTTTTTCTTTTGGTTCACTCAAATTTCCTTTCTCATTTCCCAACCGCAAAATAACCCAGTTTCCATCTCATAAGGGCTCCTTACCTGGAGAAAGAGCCAGTGCATTACTTAAAAAATTTTTGATAATGATTTTAGAGATGACTTTTAGTATATTGTTTAAACAAGCTAGCACATTAATGAGGTATGACCTATTATAGCACTGGGGCGGTAACTCACCTTGGAAAGGAAAGCAGTGTGTAGTCTCAATAGTTGGGTAGGAGGAAGGAAGGAAAAAGGAGCCTTTTCTGTGGCTTCCAACCCTGCAGGCCCTTCCAGACAGACCTCCCTCCAGGCTGCTTTATGCTATGTTCCTCAGCCTCTTAACCCCAGGTCTTTGCATATGCTGTTCTCTCTTCCTGTCAGAATTCCCTTCTGCTAACCAGTAATGGCCCCCTTCAGTCCTCTACTCACTCGTGACTTCCTCATGGAAACCTTCCCTGTCCTCTTGACCACATACATTCCCTCTATTTTATGCTGACAGGGCATCACTCTCCCTGTGGTACTTATCATGGTGAAATGTTATACTTTTCACTGGTCCTCCAGATCCCTGGATGCAAAACCCATGGATGCAGGACCCATGGGACTGACTGTGAGGGACTTGAGCATCCGAGGATTTTGGTAGCTGCGAGGGTCCTGGAACCAGTTCCCTGCAGATACCAAAGGATGGCTGTATTTAAGTATGTATTTCTCTGATTAATGTCAGTTTCTGCCACTTGAGCCTTAACTCCTTGAGGGTAGGAATAGTGCCAACGTTTTCTGGTGGCTGACACAGAATAAGTGCTTAAGTATTTGTGGAATGAGTGAATTCTTGAAGCAAAGTTTTCCTAAGACTTGATAAAGTCTAACAGCTAGTTAATGTGATTTTAAAACCATGTCTGTCCTCATGGTGACTCAGGATAGTAAGAAGATGCTCGAAAAAAACCACAGGTAACAAAAAGCCCCAGGGCACGAAAGGGAGCAGAAGCCCAATTTCTCACGTGGCTAAGCTCCTCAAAGCCTATTTGGTTGAACTTCTATCCCTTGTGTGAATATGGCTGCCAGTTGGTTTACTGATGGGTATTTTGTAATTGGTGGATTTTAACCCTAACAAATAAATGATAATAATTAACATTAATATATGAACTACTTGAGTTCAAGTCTTGTTCCCCATTTTCTAGGTGTGCACCTTTGGGACACGTATATAACCACCCGATGCACATCGTTGGTGACCTACGAGCATATCTACCTCAGCAGTGGGAATGGGCCCTAGTACATGAGAATGTGCCTTAAACAGTGTCTGGCACATAGTAAGTACTGAATAAATATTAGGTATTTGCATTACTCTTCCTTTACTATTATATGTCATACCTTGCTTTAAGAGATTTACATGTGTTATTTACATAATTTAATTATTAATGAAATCCATAATTCTTACAGGTGTGGGAACTGAGGAATGCAGAATGGGAAGACTACTGAGGCTACTTAGAGATGCCTCTCCCAGTGCTCCTTCAGGATGCTGCTTCCATCTATGTTAAGCCCTGGGTTAACTCTGCAGAGAGGCCCCCAGTCACACAGGTGAGGCTGGTGGAATTGCCCCTTCACTTCGTGGGTACAGAAATCTCTCCTTCCCCTGCCCACAGTCTCTTCCAAGTTACTGCAGATCTACCCATCTGGGGCCATGGAGATGTTTCACTTCCTTCCTCTGAATTTACAAGCACTTCTCTGAGTCCAAATGAAGGCCAAACAGTGGGCAGGACGTTGGAGGGGACCTCACTGGTTGGACTAGCATTGTTGATCACTAAAACAAACACTTCCTGTTGTCCCAGAGCATACAGGGAAGACCATGGTTCATGTGGGCTGGAAAAGAATGAAAAAGGAGCAGCAAAGAAACCCAGCTGCAAAGCCACTGCCTTGTGCTGACTGCTTTCCAGGAGTTAAATATAGCTCCTGTGTGAGGGAGGCAGAGGGGGTGGCGAGGTCACCTTGAAAGGCTTTTGTATGTGTTAATTACAGCTTATGCAGGAAACTGAATATCCTTCATGCTGAAGAAAATAGTACAGTTTGACTCCCTGGGAGAGAAACCCAGAATCCTGAGGGAAGTGGTAAAGAAGAGTGGAAGATTGGGGATATGGTAGGAGAGTATCTGGTTTGGGTTCTGACTCCTCCTACTTGCTAGTGTGGAATCTGGGGTAAGTCAGCCCCTCTGAGCATCATTTTCCTCTTCTGTTAAGAAGGGATTTAGAATCCCCACGTGCAGGTTTGTGGGAGGGGAAACGGGGAATGGTGGGGTAAGAGTTTGTAAACCGTAGGGATTTTTACTGCGGATGGACGCGTTCCTCTGTAGCACAATTCTCTGATGTACTCGTTTCAGGAAGACAGGGAGGCAAGAGGTCAGGGAGGTTGCAGGTCAGTGGGGAAGCAGGTTGTGGGGATGTTTTGGGGTGACTCACTTCCTGGGAGTCAGGCCAGGGTGACAGGCTCAGGGAAACACCCTGCATCTTAATGGCCTTTTGAGCAGCAGCTCTGCCCAGGTCTTGTCATCCACCAGGACACCTCTCGTTCTGGACACCTTGTTTCTCAGCCCTGGGCGGCCAGGGAAGCGGTAGCTCCCTCTCATCAAGACATTTCCAGACAGGAGGGGGTGGGGCAAGCCACTGACTTCCGAGGAAATAACTTTTGGCTGTGGGACTGGGCTCTCCCAGAATTGTTCCTTTGTGTGCAGATTCCTCCCTGTTGAGCTCACAAAGGAAATGGTTCCAGGAGGAAGTGGAAAACTGTGACACACATGCTCAGGCCTCACACACAAGATGGCAGCTGTTTCCCTTTGCGGCAGTCCCTATCATCTCCTTCACTAAAAGGAGTGGCCTGGGATACCCAACGATAAAGGCAGGTCGTGTTTTTGAGCTCTTATGTGATGTTCCAGATGTTATGCTAAGCATTTTGCATGGACTGCCTCATCTAATTCTCATAATGGCCCTGTGAGGTAGTTGCTGTTCTTCACCCTCTGTTTTACACATGAACCAAATGAGGCTCAGAGAGGCACAGTTGTTTGTCTAAAGGCACATGGCAAGCAGAACCAAGATTCAAACGTAGACCTAAGTCTAAGGCCTAAACGTCCAGTTGTTGCATCATAATTCCTTCTTGCCGCCGCCTTCTAACAGAGGTTCCCTACCTCCAAAGCTTGATGGAACCAGCAGTGAGTCCCTCACAACCATTCCCCACTGGTGCCCATTCATAGGATGGGTGCCTGGTCTGAAGCCTAGATGGGGCTGGGCTTTCTGCTTCTGAGAAGTTTGAGTTTGAGGACCCATCTCACCAATAGTCTGGGACAGACATTGAAGATGTCTGGCTAGGGGTTTGCGAATAGTGCACATAATAATAAAGATATCCAAGGATGGCAGTGAACATTTATTGAACACTTCTTACAATCTGGGCTCTGGGCCTAACACTTTTATTTCTTTTTATAAATTAGGACTTCGTGTGGACAAAACTTGGGTTAATTCTAATCCTTGCTTCATGAGACACTCATCATTGGTCCATGCATGCTCCACTTTTATTTAGTTATTTATTTATGTAATCAGTTATTTTTGCTAATGTAGTAAGTACCCACAAATCTACCATGCAAAGCAAAAGCCTGAATCCAGATGTTATCATACATCTAACTATGATCCCATGCTTCTGCTTCCCTCTCCAACCTAACTGCCATCCTGAATGCTGTATTCAACACATCCTTGCTTTCCCTTGTAGATTGCAACTAGATATACCCATACAAAATTTTAGTTGCTTTAAACTTTATTAAAAGGGCATAATCCTATAGGTAATCTTTTGTGACTTTTTTCTTTACCATGATACTGCTAAGGTTTATCCATAGCATTGCCTGTCACTGTGTTCATTCATTGTGCTGTATGATATTCCACTGCGGGAAGATTCTCCATGACTAACACTCTGTGCCTATTACGTCATTTAATCTCTGCAACAACCCCATGTGGTAGGAGCTCTTCTTATCACAGTTTTACTGACAAGAAACTCTGAGCCCTAGAGAGTCTAAAGAACTTGCTGGAGGTCATAGGTGCCAGGTTTGCATCTTTCTGGCCCCCACTGTATGCTGTGTTTTGGTGTAGAGGAGAAAGCACAGGAACTAGAGCCAAAAGCCCTGGGCTCAAGGTCCAGCTCCACACTTACTGGCAGTGTGGCCTTGGGCAAGTTGCCTCATGCCTCTGAGCCTCAATTTCCTCAACATTGAAGTGAGGTGATGGTAAATGCCCTATCTACCTCTCAGGCCTGTTGTGAGACTCAAATCTTACAATGTCTGTGAAAAGTGACAGCACTCTGTAAACTGAAGTTTTGTAAATCGGTACATTGTGATTAATGATCTATGTGCCATCTGCTCCCCTCCACACCAGTCAAACAAAAATAACCTGTGTAGGATTCAAGAGATGAGACTGAACAGCATCCCTATTCAGAAAGGCAAGGATTAGGTTGACAATCAGCCCACAGAAGTCTTAGTGTGATTAAAGAATCAGAAAATCGTCAGTAGAGGCCTCAGGCTGCACTAATGGGAACGGAGTATGTATTTATCTTTGTTCTGTTCAATGGAGTTTAAAAAAATATTACTTTTTTTTTTTTTTTTTTTACTATTTCTTACCTATTTTCAATATCTGAGGCCCTACCCCATTACTCTTTGCTTGTGGTGTTTCCTCTGCATGGCTTGTTCTCCAACCACTGTCCCCTATTAGCTGTGTGACCCTGGGCAAATTACTTCACTTCTCTGTGTCACCTCATCTGAATAATGGGGATAATAACAATACCTACACCTTACGGGGCTGCCGTGAAGATCCAGTGAGGTGTTATATGGACTGTTTAGAACAGTTCCTGACACATACAGAATTGACTATTGTTATTATTTAAAATCTCCCCTACTCCCCCGAGAGTGCCCACTTATGTTTTGACAATTGGTTTAGAGGCCACTTCCTCCAGGAGGCCCGTCCTGCCTTCCTGCACAGGTAAGGTCACCCTGTTATAGCCTCCAGAGCAGACAATTTGTTCATCTTCCTCCATTAAAGTGTGAACGGTGAGAGTCGAGATGATGCCTGATTTAATATCTGCCACCGCTGCCCAGTGCCCAGTACCGTAATGGGCACACAGCAGGTGCACTGCAGAGGGATTAACTAACAGCCTGAATTCAGAGGAACAACCACAGATGAAGGAGGGGGCTGTTAATCCTGTCTATGACAACCATCTCCAAGAGCAGAAGGGCTCATGGGGATGGGGGAAGAGCGAAGGTGGGGCAGACTTGTTCTCTGGGGCTCTGGAGGGCGGTCCTGGAACAGTGGTGGCCGCTTAAGACCATATTATTAGGTTCTCTGTATATAGGAACTCTCCAGAAGTCTGAACTAAGAAGAGAGCCAGGTGGGCTGAGCCCAGGTAGACGGTGCCTTGGCAGGAAAGTGGGGGTGTGTTAGTCGGTGGGTAACTGTGACACTGGGTGACTGGGGTGAGAAACATGCAGAATCACACCTGGGATTTGTCCTCCCTAGCCCAGCGACCCGAGGCAGGTGACGTCAGTTTTCTCATCTGTGAAGCAGAGGTAAGGAGAGCAGTCATGTCAGAAGGTTGTGGTGAGCAGAAAGGGAGATAATGTATGAAAAGTGTTAAGCTCTGTGCCAAGCACATATGAAACCTTTTGCAAAGGTTGGTTATTACTATTAATGTTGTTGCTGTTGCTAGTAATCACAGGGGAGTCAAGCATTACCCAGAGGTTAGTCTAGACATTCTAGATGGGAGGCTAAGTGTTAGGCTCAGAATGGCCACCTTGACTGCTGCCCAGGTGGAAGGTCCACCCTCTTCCCTCTCTTCCTTCCTTTGCCTTGCCTGCAAAAGCCTTCCAGTGGTAACCTTGGGTTATGTTCTGGGCCAGGTCCCTGTGAATGCAGCCCACAGAGAGCCCAGCCACCCTGGGCAGGCTTTGGGAGATGCCTAGGGTGATTCCTGCCTCTAGGGCTGGGGGTGGGATCAAGAAAATGATGGTTGAAGGTCCTGGGAAAGAATGTCTTGAGTCTTAACTCCAGACAGATGTCTCCTTTGCTCTCCCATTAGATCAACAATTCTATACACTTAACTCTATTTGAAAATGGACAGAGTGTGAAGTTTTATGTTTCCCTGTTCTTAACTTAAACTTGAAGGTGAGTTAATCTTACACAATTTGCTGCTCACCTGCAGTATTTGCTGTAGTTCCTAACTGGTCTCCTCTCTTCAATCTCTCCCTTTCTACTCTGATGTGAGCTTTCATTGCCCCCAAATGGCAACACAGCATAACCCCCTCCTGCTTGTACCTTGTCAATAGCTCCCCAGGGCCCAGACACCAGTTTCCTTTGTGACTCAGATGATGAAAGATCTTCACATGCTCCCTGTACTCGCTGTGGTTTATCATCATTCCCTCTGTAATTCCATCCCTTCCCAGGATGGGCAGGCAAGAAGTGAAAGGGAAAGCATCAGAGAGAGAACTTGGAATCCATTCTGATTTTTTAAGAAAGGCGATCATTTGTAGACCTGTAGTTTAAGCATTAACTTTTTTTTTTTTTAATTGTATGCTTCCTGCATGCTGAGTGCTTTTCTTGCACAAATCCAATTATCCCCCATAGTAGACAGGAGATTGTTATCTCCATTTTTAGTTGAAGAAACTGAGACTTGGGATTAAGTGGAAGAAGTAGAGCTGGGATTCAAACCCTGGCAACCTGACACTGCAGCCAGTGCACTCAGCTCCCACATTATGCTGCCTCTATTATTAGTTACCAATCACACTCTCAGTTATGGACCTGGATGATAAGGCCCTACTTGAGGCTCCATTTTACCTCTACCTGCTTCTCTGGGCTGTAAGCATGCTGACCCTGAGCATGGCTTCTGTGCCTCTCTTCTTTCTACTCTGCCATTTTCTCCACCTGGAATGCCGTTCCCCCAGTGTTTCTGAGGTTCCTGGCTAGAAAGTGTCCCTTGAGTCTTCTGGGCCTTTATTTATTCTGTTTGATGGACACTGGCCAGATATGACCTCATGTCACAGGAATTGGTGACAGAGTCTTAGTTTCTCTGCCTCACTAGGAGATTTGGAGGTGCAGGGACCCTACGCTTCCCCTCTGTTACTCCTTAGAGCTACAGCTGATTGCTGGCTGGAGGTGAGGAAATGCGATTGGTCCCTCCAGCTTCCCAGCACACTCCTAGATCATTTTTCTTCTTGGTTCAAGTAAAGCTAAAATAAAATCCCCCTTGGTTTCATATCAGCTGGATCTGCTCTTTGCAGACCCTTCAACAAGAATGGGCAGGAAGAATAAATATTTATTCTACAAATGAATAAATCTGATTCCATCTTCAAAAGAAAGCCTAGTATAAATTATCATAATTTCTCCGTTCTAAGATTTCACTGATTTAAAGATATCTTATCTGCTAAATAATAGCTTTTTGAAAAAAAAAATCAGAAAAATGAACAAATTAATATATCAAATTTAAGATACGTTCTGATTTAAAAAATATGTCTTGGTATCAATGAAATATTTTTAAAAATATGGTCCAATTCAATTTTGATTTTTTTCTTTTGATTCTGGTGGTCTCAGAAAGAAGGCTCCAAGCCTTGACTAAATCACTGTGAAGCATGGGCAGGTAGGTGTCAGCCATGTCCCAGCCCTGAACCCCTGGGGGTTGCTGGGTCAACAAGGGCATGACAGACCAATCATATACCAATGGCAGCCCTGAGGCCCCCAAGGCCAGTAGACAGGTTTTCTCCCCAGCAGATCTATGTCCATGCTCTGCTGATACCTCCTGACCATGTTAGTGGTTCTGGGGAAAGCTGACTAGGAGTCCATCATGTGATCTTAGGCAAGACACCGCCGCTTGAGCCTCAGTTTTCCCAGTTGTAAAGTGAGAGGCATAAGATTAGATAGGCGGTTTTCAAATGTTCTTCAGATGGAGCTTTGGGATCCTGGAGGCTTCTTTAGGGGCTGCCTTGGGAGTAGGAAGATGGAATGGACTGTACTCAGTATTTTCATTCCCACTTCCCCCAGAGCAAGTCTTTGCTTAAGATTTTGTTTGCAAAAAGTAGTTTGAAAAACACTGGTAAATGGCATTCTGGGGTCTTTCCAACATCAGTCTTGAATATATACTCTTGTATGATCTAAGGGCAGTGCTTCATTTCTCAGCCTGGACACACCCTCAGAATCCTTCTCACCACAGTGCTCCAGGCAGACACTCCCAGACTCACTGCAGTTTAATCCAGGGGTTGGCAAGCTTTTTGTGTGAAGGACCAGATAGTAGCTACTTTAGGCTTTTCAGGCCACATGTGGGCGGGGCCTCTGTTGCAAATACTCAATAGCAAGAAAGCAGCCATAGACAATACATAATGAATGCCCATGGCTGTGTGCCAATAAAACTTTATTTAAAAAAAGACGTGGTGGACTGGATTTGGTCTACCAGCTGAGGTGTGCTGATACCTGGGCTATAATAAATACTTCAGCCTGACAGGTGAAGAAACTGAAGCCCAAGGAGGGGATTCAAGGAACGGGATTTGGTTGGACCCCCCGTCCCCCGGACAGCGAGCATGCTTCCACCACTCCACACTGCTCACTTAGCCATGACCCTTACCCTGATTTGGATTGTGGGCATCTGAGATTACATGGTTGAGGGAATGGTGCCTGGAAAAGACACGTGCCCCACTTCTCCCTCTCAGGATATCAGTTTTCTCCTAGGTTCTTAGAGGGCTATAAAAAGCCTCTGAGCTTGCCTCCTGTGGGACGTGCTGTCAGTAAATTCCCCAGAGCTGGAATGACTGCAATGTGGTGCCACATTCTGCCCCCTCTGCAGCCTGACAGCTGTACAGGGAGAAGAATCAGGCCTGGCAGGCTCTGCCTCTCCACTCCCACTTGGGGTGTGGCTGGGATTCCCCAAGTGGAATTTTAAATGGAGGACAAACCCTGCCTGGGCCCTCCTGGGGCAGGCTCTTTGCCAGTTCCAGGAGGATGAGTGTTTCTTGAATTCTAAACACCAAAACTCCAAGGGCCACAGTGGGAAGAGTGTAAAGGGTAAGAAAAAAATCTCACACCGGCTGCCTGGCCATACCATTCATTGATGGAGGGTGTCTATCCTAGAATTGTTTAGATCCCCTTTCCCTCCCATGCTTCCCACCTTGAAATCTTTACCTAGTAAGTCCTTGTGGCTTATCTGGCAAGTCCTTCACATAATGGGAATGCCCCTCTCCACTGGAGAAGCAGTGGAGAGCAATGGTAAAGAATTTATGTTTGGAGGTGGGCAGGGCTGGGTGAATAAATCGACCTTTCTAAGCCTCAGTTTCTTCATCTGTAAAATGGGGATATTTTTAAAAATACATATACAACACATTTTAAAGTAGGTGCTGAAAATAAATTACAGTAAATAAACTTAAAATGCATCAGATGGCAAAGTCATGATGAACATTCCCATCGAATTCTGTTGGGAGGTGGTGGTGGTGAGACTGCAGGGCTCAGGGAAGATAAATATCACAAATGTATCCAAAACTTCAAATTACCTATGCATTCACACACTGACATGGGCCACAAACATGCCTTCACAAGAACTGTACTTATTAGTCTACCACAGAACAAGATTTTGCCATAAACTACAAAATTTTTAATACCAAGTTGTATTTATATCTTTATAATTGATATACATGCCCTAGCCGTGATTTTAGAAAATAAAAGCTGTACTCTGTACAGACACTGTCCACTCACAACTGCTGGCAACATTTTTGGATGGCATTTCTCCCCCAGTAAAATTAATGGCATATTTTATGTACATGAAAGTCAAACTGCATCAACTTCATGATTGTTGAGAGAATTAAATGGCTCAATGTCCATATGTAAACTGCCTGACTCATGGTGAGCGCTCAGTTGGCTATTATTAAACATCTTCTATGTGCTAGACACTGGAACTGAGATATAGAGACAGTCTCAGAGCACAGGTTCATATACACACAGAGGAGGCATTTAAGTTAGTACAATACAGTCTTCTAAAAGCTGAGACTGAGGAGGGTGGTGCTAACCCAAAGTCAGTGGGAAGGTCGAGGGAGGATGTGGCAGGTAGTTTTCATGGAGGTGATGCTGAGTGGTCTCTTTCAGGGAGAGGGAATAGCAGAGTCATCTTTTTGAACCTCAGGTTTTACATCTGTCCAATGGGGAGAATGTCTCAGCTGACCCCTTCACAAGGCTTTTGCCAGAGTTAAGAAAAGAAGAGAAACTCAAGGCTGAAAGGGTTCCAGAGAAAGGATTTTGGTGGTCAATTCTCTGTTTGAATATCCCTGCTATTACACAGGTTCCTTCTGGCCCAGAGTGACCCCCCTGTGGACGACTGCCGAGCGAGAGCATGCATGATTACCAGAGGTTGCCCAAGCTCCAAAGGAAGAACTCCATGATCAACACCCCTGACACTACGTGGAAATGGACATGACTGATGAATGTGAAAAGGTTTCTAGAACTTAAAAGCTTTATAAGAATGTATGTACTTATATTGCAGAAGTGAGTGGCTGAGCCAGCGCTAGGACGTGGGATTTCTGCTTCTGTGTCCAGATCCATTCCCCAGCTGGCCCTGTGTGCTGGCACATTTATTGGAGGTTTTTCTTCTCAGGCTAGAGTTCACAGACCCTGGGAGTCCATGGCAGAGGGCAGGGTGGGGTTAGGGAAGAAACCCCGAGAAAAATACAGTGTGTCTCTGGAAGTCCACTGCACAAAGATTTTTTGGGGGTGTTTGTTCAGTTATGTTATGGACGATAATAGAAATTTGTTTGACTTTAGATCAAATGAGACATTTCAAGCTTTTGGAAGACACTTTGGGTAACAGACCCAAACCCTAGAGTTTCACTTGGTTGAAAAGTGTGAAAGGCAGTGCTAGAGCAAGTAATGGAATCAAGCAAGGTGTTTGAGCAAGGTCAAGGGTTATGATAAACCAGTGCACTAGAACAGTGAGCATATCAGACTCACCTGAAGCTTTGCAAGAAGTACACATTCCCAAACCTCACTCCAGACCCACTGATCAGACCTCTGAGGGTATAGTTTCAGTAGGCTCCCTAGGAGATGATTCTGGGCGCAGATGGATTCGAGAACCACTGCTTTAGACAGTATAGAGTGGTCCTTAAGGGAGGTTGGACATGCAAGAGTAGAAACAGGAAGCTCCTGTAGGAGATGACAGGATATAGGAGAAGAAGCCATCCAGAATACGTTTTTCAGTAACAGTCCACAGAATTAGGGGTGTGATTGCAAAAAGGATGAAAGCAAAGGAAACGATGAATAATGACGAAGTCTGTGTTTCTGTCCCCAAAATAGGAATCATTGAAATGGAAAATCCTGGAGCTGAAAGTGGCCGTATCCAGCTCTACTCTGTGAATTTTGTATTTTTTCTTTTATTTATTTATCATCTCAACAGACATGTTTTGCGAATATACTGCATGCAAATTACTACATTGGGTGCTAGGAAAAGAACTGTGAACAAGGTAAGAAGGACCCTGCCCTCACAGAGCTCACATTAACAGCTAATTCATTCCCATAATTAATCATAACTGCAAAGATGGTAACCAATGAGACGTACAGAGTGCTAGGGTTACCTGTAATGGGGGATGTAGCTTGGGAGACAGGGAAATATTGTCTTGAGGAAGTAATGTTTGAGCAGATCACTAAGGATGAGCAGGAAGGAGTTAACCTGGTGAAGGTACAAAGGCCAGTGTGAGGAGAGCCCATAGTAAGAGATGGGCAGGGGCCCAAAGTGAGTTGGTGACAGGCAGGGTGGGTCCTTGAGGGCCACCACCAGGACTGTAGTCTATATCTTAAGAACAATGAGAAACCGTTAAAGAGGTTAAGTACAATCAGATCTACAGCTTTAAGTAACTGTCTTTAATCGCATCCTCTTCTTCCCAAATTCTATCCACAAGCATAGATAATTCGTAAGTCCCATTAAAAGCTATGATATGTTGCACATTTGAATAAAAGATGAATGCTTCAGGGCTTCCCTGGTGGCGTAGTGGTTGAGAGTCCGCCTGCCGATGCAGGGGACACGGGTTCATGCCCCGGTCCGGGAAGATCCCACATGCTGCGGAGCAGCTGGGCCCGTGAGCCATGGCCGCTGAGCCTGCGCGTCCGGAGCCTGTGCTCCGCAACGAGAGAGGCCACAACAGTGAGAGGCCCGCGTACCGCAAAAAAAAAAAGATGAATGCTTCAGGTTGAAGTATATACTCCTACAAGTCCTGTTCTCTATAGTTTGCAAAAGGGTCATGCCTATGGAAACCTCTTGAATTGAGTGACAGTTGTTTTAACTTATATATTACTGTGATCCCTATTACTGTGATAGGAGCCACTCTGGGGCTCCCTGATCTGTGGCCACTCAGCCTCTGCTTCATTATGTTCCTGGGCACCTTCTACTCTGTCATTGAATAGCTCTTTTCATTTGTATGCTTCTCCCAGATTGTGCCCCAGTTGGTCTGTGTTTAACCTCTTGTATAGCTTTCTGGAGAGTCTTTCTTTTACCTCTTCTACAGGACAGCTAGTTTGAGAACTGATCTCATGTACCCCCTTCAAATTTAGTCTTATTCACAAACAGCCCCATTTCCTTCAATAGCTCCTCACGTGATTGTGTTGTTAACAGGAAAAGAGAAACAGGAAGGGTGATCTGATTTGGTGGTGAATAAGATGAGTTCAAAATTGGGTCACTTGGAGGTTGAGTTGACTTCCAAATGGAAACTTCCACAGGCAGGAGCCAGTGCAGGAGAGTGGAGCTCAACTCATGGCTGAAAATGGACATTAAGAGTAGACGTCATAATGGGGCTTGGTTGTCTACAGGTGTGAGTTTAGAGAGAGGGCTGAGGTGGTAGGGAGAGAGGGGCAAGAGCCATCAAAGAAGAAAAAGTGAGCTAGAGAAAAGATGGGAAATAACAGTTAGTAAGCACTTATCATGGGCCAGGTGCTGGGTGCTGGGCAAATATTATCACATTGCAGTCTCCCAATTTTGGGTGTCATTATTCCTGCTTTTCAGACTAGCAGAATAAGACTTAGTTGGGTCACTTGCCTTAGGGCAAGAGAAGCCCAGAGGCTATGAGCACCTATAACAGTGGGATTGGAGGTGGGAGAAGGAGAGGCAGAAAAGCCTTCTGGCAGAGGGATGGAGCAGTGGTTAACCTAGGTTTATCGGATTGCAAACTCCATGCTTTCTCCATCTTTGCAAATAGGAGAATCCATTTAGAAAAGAGTAGAAGGTCAGAGCTACAGAGAAGCCCAGAAGATGGGACTGGGAAGGGTGAAAAATTAGACAAAATGGAAGCCGTTTGTGACCCTTAGATGTGGGCTTTCAGCAGAAGGTGTGACCGGAAGTGAGACTGCAGGGAGGGAAAGAAGTGTGTGGGAAGAAACAGGAAGCTGCCGTTGGTGTGTATGGTAGTGGGGTTTTATTTTTCTGTTCAGTTGCAAGGTTTTTGCAGAAGGGTAAGAAGGGTATGAGAAGCTAATGGTATCCAAAAACAGGGTTGTTTTTCCGAACCAAAGATCAGAATGAAATAATGATAGGCTCTTGGCAGAGAGTGGAGAGGGAAGAACTTACTCGGCAGGGTACTCACCCATGTGAGAAGTGGGGCTTGAAACTGATTGTTGAGGGAGAGGCAGAATAAACCCTGTGTGGGACAAGGCAGTGGAAGTGATGTCTAGTGCCAGCAGAAGCCTCTTCAGGGAAGAGAGTAAGGTTAGATCCTATACATACAACCATTGCAGAGTGTGGCTAAAATCCAAGTAATTATATTTGATAAATGTAACATCTGTCATCTACTGAATGTTTCCTAAGTGCTACCTTACGTGCATTACCTTTTCCCATGACACTCCAAATGAAATGAAACTGACATTCAGAGAAATTAAGTAATTTATCCAATTCATACAAGATCATACAGCTAGGAAGTCGTGGTCAAAGCCTAAATTTGTCCATTCTCTGAATGACTCAGCTCTACTGAGTCTCCAGGCCGACAAAGATGACCATATGGAACATGTTTGGAGGGAAAACATGAATATGGGTGCATGTTCCTTTTGGAAGAACAGTAATTGATAGGAGTAGAGAATGAACTCAGATGTCACGGAAGAGGTATGGGAATTCACAGCCTTGGGGACAGTTGTTGGGCAATGAGTCATGGATGGGAGCTCATCATAGGAATGGCTGTGGGCTACTTGGCCAATGGAAGCCACAGATAGGGAAGATGTGGCTTTCCTAGTATAGATTTCAAAGCTGGTCCAACAAAGGCAAGACACGAGTAGGTTCTTCTAGCATCTCTTAAATAATAAAAATATCACTTAATGAAAAGCAGAGCTTCAGATCATGTCTTGAGTTGCCCAGGAGACAATATGATCTCCCAGAGAATATAATTCAGCAGAAGAAACTCCCATCTTGGGTTGAATGCAACTAGTTGAAAAAGAACTAGTTATAAAGTAGAAAGGAAAGGAAATTTGGGGAAATTGATTGTTTCATATGAGCTAGGCATATCAGATACAACCTTGGACATTAAGAAGGTGTATTAAAAATTAGAGAAAATTTAGACCAAAGGCTTTAAAGCAAAGAACTCGAGAAGACTAGAAAGTTCACAAAAGCAAAATTGTGAAGACACGACCATAGTCAGCAGGCAGGAATAAATAGAATAAATAAGAGAAAATAGACACATTGGCCTTATATATTAATATTTTGTCAGTCACTCAGAAACTCTCATCAAATGGTTCAGTTATTGCACGTCAGAGATGGATTTCCGAGAGACAAGCACCATGAAGGAGCTCCACGGATACAGAAATTATGACATGGTCCCTGTCTTTGAGTTGTATACAAAGTTGTCTAGCCCAGTTCTTAAAACGGAGTAGGGACTCAAAAAGTGTCCTCAGAGTCAGACCAGCTTGGGGCCAATAGAATTTTATTATGTTGAATCTGATTAACGAAAGACTGTAATTATTACAATAGCCAGCATTTATCGATGGTTCTCATATGCTAGGCATTATTTGAAGTATTTTCCATATACTTAATATTTATAACAACCCCAAGAAGTAGGCATCATCAGTATCCATATTTTATCCTCATTAGAGGATAAAGAGTTAAGTTACTGGTCCTGTAGAAGGTGGTGGCCATAATCATTAGTCTGTAGTGCAGGTGGTATCTTCACCAATGGCTGATTCTCTTTGAATGATATTCATGAATTGGGAAGTCCTGCTGGAAGGAATTTCATTATAATGTAAGTGGTTTCTGTGTCTGTTACTATATGAATCCTGCTTTACTCATGGGAAGACACATATCCTGTTAGACTAGAAATCCTACTTCCCAGGTTTGTTTTCGTTCTCAAGTCAGTTGACTTTGATGATGAGCTTCTATGCTGTAATTGCTGCTGAAGATCTGAACAGTATAGTTGTGGCGTAATGGAGGTGCCTGGACCTGCAGCAGGAAGATTTGGCATCCAAGCCCTACTCTAGGGCTTGGGCAGGTCACCTGCCACTACAGAGGCAGCCAGCAGCAAGCTTAAGATCAGGACTTTGGTTCAAACCCAGCTCTGTCTCTCACATGGCAAGTGACTGTATAAGTTAATGTCAGTGATCTAATCCTGCTGTTACGGACTGAATTGTGTCCCCCACCCCCCACCCCAATCCATACATTGAAGCCCTAACCCCCAGTGTGACTGCATTTGGAGATAGGGCCTTTAAGGAGGTAATTAAGGTTAAATGAGGTCATAAAGGTGGGCCCTAATCTAACAGGACTGATGCCCTTCCAAGAAGAGGAAGAGACACCAGAGATCTCTCTTTTTCTCTCTCTCTGTGCACAGGGAAGAGGCCATGTGAGGACACAGTGAGAAGGCAGCGATATACAAGCCTGGAAGAGAGGCTTCACCAGAAATCAACCCAGATGGCACCTTGATCTTGGACTTCTAGCTTCCTGAACTGTAAGGATATAATTTGTTGTTTGAGCCACCCAGTCTGTGGTATTTTGTTATGGCAGCCCTAGCTGACTAATACACTGCCAAGCCTGCTTTCCTGTGAGGTAGGGATTAATGATAGTACCTAGTCATAGCCTCATCCCATCGCTTTTTCCAAGAGAAGCCATGTAAAAAGCTGAGCATGTTGCCTGGCTCATGATAAGACCTTGATGATTTCAGTTGTTACTGTTATTAATAGTGAAGTGTGGTTTCCTTCCCTGGGCATGACAGTCTCACTCCCCACGTGGTCGGTATGGGGCTGAAATGAGACCTGTGCTTCTTAAAATTTCCCTGGCAAAAGAAGAGAGTGCTCACACCCTCCTGGGGATATGGGCACAAGAAGGGATTTCCACTGGAATGATTTGTGAAGTCTCTCACATTTTATCTTAAAAACCCACACAGATTTTGCATTCTAGTTCATATATAGTTTTAATTTGTACAGTGTTTGCAGTAGTTTCTCAGGGTTGACAGCTGAGGATCTAGACACATGACCTGGTCCTGTGTGCCTCATCCACTTCACTCGCATTTGCGCAGGCCTTTGCAAGTCACAAAGAATTGTTCTGATGTGAGGATTTTGTGGTATGTATTTTTAAAAATCAGCATTACAATTAATCAACTTGGGATACACTATAAAGTGTATTTCATATTACTAATGAACTACCTGAACCACTGTTAGTGAGCTCCTACTGTGTGCCAGGCATTGGTGTCAGCAGGGTGACCACTCAGATCCACTCCCAACCTTCCGGAAGCTTACATTCTGGCAGGGTAGGCCGACACTAAACACACAGTCAGATAACTAACTCTTAGAGTAATGGCACATCGTGACAAGGGCTATGAAGGAGAAGGAAAGTAGGCTAGGAAAGCCCGTAGCAGGGGAGAAGGTCAGAGCCCTAGAGCATTCTGAGTACTAATAGATTCCCGGGAAGTCTGGCTTCCTAGGAAGAGTGGTCTGGAAGCAGCCTTCTCGAGTGAGGCATCAGTTATTAAGCATTTTAAACGGAGTGAATTATTATCACTCGTGGTCCGTCAAAGCTCTGGGTGGTCTGTTTTCCACAGCTCCAGGTAGGCTAGTTATGGGGATTTTGTACTGGGGACAGGGTGGTATTTGGCAACTTTTGGGGTGTGATGGGGTGAAGGGCAGTGCTCTTTGCTTTAAATGTACAATGTGGGAAATGGGGATGGGGGACTGAGGGATATTAGAGGTGCCTCTTCTCTCTTTTCTTTTTCCTCCCTGGTGAGTGCATCTGCTCTTTGCAGACTTGTCCAGGAGTCAGTTAACAGGTGAGAACTGCTTTACAAATCACAGCCTCGGTCTCCAAAGAGCCAAACGGAAGCCCCCTCCATTTTTTGCCTGCGCTTCCAGCTCCTAATAGAGGGTGGATGCAGCATTTTGTGTGTTGGAGATGGTGTGGGTGGGGAAGTTGTCCCCAGCACCTTGACCTGGAAGTCTGGGGTCCCCTGTAGCCCTCTGAACTCTGGCTTTACCCGTAAGAGGGGTGCAGAGAGGTTACCCCGACACCTGCTCTTCTTCTCATCCCTGCCCCCACTGCCCTTCCTAATTGCTTCCACACCCCTGGCCACTCCTTTTTTTCCCCTTGGAGGCCTTAGCACAGCAAACAGGCAGATGGAGGAAGGGTGTAAGATTATTGTAGGGAAGGGGAGGAATTTTCCATTAATAATAGTAACAAGAATAATAATGCTTCTCATGTTGGCACAGCACTCGCCAGTTTACCAAGTGCATTCACACCTGTGATCTCCTTGGATTCCAGAGGTGGGAAGTTATGACACTGGTGTTCTGGTGGTCAGCCTTTGACACTGCCCCCATGTTCAAGCAGGCCACCTTTTTCACAGACATGAGCCCATTGAGGTGTCTAGGCCTTTACTTAAGCACAGGCCCCAATGAATGCCCCCCATAAATGCCCTCTCTTTGCTCCTGTCAATTGCAGTTTCAACAAGCCCCCACCATGTCTGTGAAACTTTATCAAATACTCTCGTCTCCTGAAAAAGAGTCCAAGCAAAAAAGGGTCTCAGAGACCATGTGGTCTAACCTCGTCACTAGCCCAGAGAGAAGAAGGGTAGGTTAAGGTCACGCAGCTTGTCAGGAACAGAGCCAGGGCTCGGACACCCATGTGCCACCCACACACACTCCTGCAGCTCCTCCTCCCGATACCCTGGGTAGCTGCACACTTCGTCTCCTGGGGCTTCTCAGCGTTCGAACAGTAGGGGCTTCGCATGTCCGGTGGTTTTCAAGAGTGTGACTCGTTAGCCCTATTTTACTTTCGGTGGGGGTTGGGGGGAGGTGGGATAGGGTCAGAGGAGCTCGCCGTCCTCAGGAATCCTGTGGGGCATTCTTTTGTGAAGTTAAGACTCCAAGTGTATGAAAACGTTGGTTTCACAAACAGGAGGCGACTCAGCTCCGGGACGAGTCCCTAACACACGAGTCCCTAACAGACCCCTAGCTGCCCTGGCCCAGGAGGCACCTGTACCCACAGCGCCCGGCTTTCGACCCCCCCCCTACCCGCTCCACGCGCCCACGCGCCCACGCTTCTCACCCCGGCCCCACCGCCCGTCTCTCCCTTGTCCTCCCTGGCCTCTAGATCGTTCGGTTCTCCCCTCCCCACCAAGCAACAAGTGTGGGCACCACTTTTCTTCTTACCGCGGCCTCGGTCCATGGCGCCAGCGATCGATCGCGCGGAGCAGGGCGCGGAGCCTCCGGCAGGGCCGGCGGCTGCGGGCGTGCGGCGCTCTCCAGTCCCGCCCGCTGGAGCGCCCTCCGCGCGTCCCCTCCCCCGACAGGATGCTCGCCCAGCGCCTCCGCCCGCCCTCGCCTGCCCCTGCACGCTGCTCCTGGAATAGACCCGGAGCCCGCCTCGCCCCCTGGGCCGCGGTGTCCCTTGTCCTGCACACGCTTCGCGCCACGCCCTGCCTTTCACAAGTCCTCATGCCCCTCCGTGAGGGGCTAGAGGACCCACATGCCAGTTCACACGCTTTCTTTCGTACCCGCGCCCGTGCTTCCCACCCCCGTCCAGACCAAGGCGTTGTTCAGCTCTGCTTGCATTACGCTAGTGACGAGGGGCTTACTACTGCACTTCCCAGCCCGGTCCATTTTCAGATTGTACAGACTGTTAGAACCTGTTTTTCAACAGTGGAATCAAACTCTGTTTGCCTGCCGCTGCCACCCATTTCCTGGCTTTTGGTTTATCTTCTCCATTAAACAGGTCTTTCCTGGGCACCTTCTAGTGCGAGACAGTGGACCAAACTCTATGCTGGTACCGTGTCAATAATGGTGTAAAAGAGGAGTGAAGTAATAAAGATCTTTAAAAAATAAAACCACCTAGGAAAAGGAGAGAAAGAGAGGATTGCTTAAAGGTGGGCAATGGCTTCGGACACATCCAACTTTCGAGGTTCCCTGTGCACTAAAACGTGAAGAATGCCAACACGGAGTGATAAAAATTGTGGAAATGAACACTTTTTTAGCATACAAATGCAGTGCAATGTTAAGTGTGCTCTTCCCAAAATAATTACAGGATGTAGAAAAAATATTGCTATGGCCAGTGTGGTCAGGAATGGGATTTAGGTTTAAAGTTGTATGAAGAATGTCAACATCTTTCATCCTATTAGTGTGTCTCTGTGAAAGTAGGTCCAAACCGTTTATAGACAATATGAAATGTCTAAATTTAAGACCCTTCATAAAGTGAAGTCCAGGCCTAGTTCTCCTTCTAGACACTCCTCCTCCCCAAGATAGGCCAGGTCACAGTTTGAAGTTTTGGCTAGGCCACTCCTTTACTTAGAACATTCTGGCATTGGGACCATCTTGTGCAAAGGCACAAGGGAGGACTTGGGAAAAAGCATCCTGCGTTTTCCTGGCCTGGGACTATTTCCTCCATTGCTTTGATGGGCAAGTTGAAATTAGCCCTGGCTTCGCCAGATTGCATCAGTAGTTTGTTTAGTATATCTGTGTATGAGCACAGAGGAAATATGGTGTAGTGAAAAAACAGCGGGATTGGAGTCTGAACACTTGTGTGTGATCTCTTGCTCTTCTAATTACTAAGTGTACAACTTTAAGCCTTTGAGGTTTGCTTGCTCATCTGTGCTGTGGGAAACCTCATACTGACCTCATAAGGCTGTTAGGAGGGCAGATGAAATGATGGTACAAACCCACTTTGTAATCCTTAAATAGCTGTGAGCCGTTATTGTTTGCCAATTCCTCTTTGTTCCTGCCCACTTTTCCAATTTGAAAAGGTCAGTTTAAATTCTAAAGCAGACAACCAACGATTTACAAGTGGGTTAACTTCTAAAAGTTCACTGTTTGAATTCTGAAACGCTTGGAAACAAGGCTATAAATTGTAGTCAAGTTTCCAGGCTAGCCCATTTATACTTTAAAAAGCATAATATTTCACTTGAAGTAAATTTTAAAAATATGTAAAACGTAACTGTTGCAAGAACAGATGGAGGCTTAGAACTTTTGGAAACTTTAAGAAACTTTCAGACTCTGGATGTTTAGAAGAGAATTGGAACAGAAAAATCAAAAAAGCTAAAGGGAATTTATATGCACCTATGGAAGAATTTTTGGAGTGGAATTAACTGAGCTGTGGTCTAGGAAAGATGTAAAAATGGGAGAACACAGTCTGTGCACAGTTTTCCTAAGGATTAACAAAAAGAAGTCACTCTGAAGGTGTAGTGGTTCTGGTTTAATAATTACCCATAATGCCCACTAGGTGGCACTGTTGACTAAATTGACTACAGCTTGGTTGCTGTTAGGAAACTGGGTGAGGTGGATGAGGAGGCTGTGGGTTTGGGACAAGGAATAACTATACATTTTTTTTCTGTACTTTTCCTTTACTTAGGCCTATAGTCACCATAAAAACTATCCCCACTTTTCATCAGTCCACTTAGGAACGTCTGTTGCATTCTGTGCCAATTTCTGTTGGGAGAACTAATGCTAAGTAGAAATGATCTCCATCCTTAAGGAACCTACAATCTAGTAGAGGAGATAAATATGTACAAAATAATTTAATTAAAAATTATTATGTGAAAAGTGCCAGAGGAGAGATAAAGTGTTCTTGGAATTCATTCAGACAAAGCAAGAATATCTTACTGATCATGGAGACAGTAATGGATGACAGACACTTAGGTGAGCCTGCAATGAGAAGATAACATTACAGGCAGCGAAAACAGTGAGAGCAAAGACATAGAGATAGAAAACTGCAGGATGTGTCTGTAAAGAAGTTTGGTCTGGCTAGATTGTAGGGTATCAGGTGGGAAGTGCTGGAATGAGAATGGGGATGGAAGTTGTGTATGCCAATGCCTGGTTCCTCCTCCCTTTTCCACTTCCCTGTATGAATGCAATTCTCTGGAAAGGATTTTTAGGATCTGCCTCATATCTTCCCTTTTCTTATTGTTGTACTAAGTTTTCTAGGTTTGCCTGGTACTTGTCTAAAGAAGTCTGTGCGGAGAGCTCCAGCTCTGTAAAAAGATATCAAATTTGGTCCCAGTGAACAATTCCAGGAAAAAAGCTTTCAGCTCCCACATGCTCCTAGTCTTGTGAAAACAAATGATACTCCCTAGTCTCATTCTTAGCTTATCAGGTGCAACTGGGAAGCCCTGGGAAAGAAAAATTTGGAGACTAAATGTTCTTTGTCCTAGTGAGAGAAGCATACTTTAGCCTTCTAACCTGTCACTTTGCCTCCAGGTCTGCTTCCATCGTGGCTGCTACAGTGACCGTTCCATGGTTCCAATCAGATCCCCCTTAAAAATACTTGATGGCTCTCCTTTGCCCTCAATGTAGAGTTCAGATTCCTTACTATAGTATTTGGAGTGCCTTCCTCACTAAGCTCCAACCCACCATTCCTCAGAGCAGACAAGCAGTGATCTCAGGAGACCCTGGGAAGAGTAAGAAAAACCATCGATTGGGGACTCAGACCTGGGTTCTTGAACTGACTCTGTTACTGTGTCACTCTCAGTTCTTCCATTGGGCCATCAATGTATAATTTCCTACTTAGGCCTCTCCTTACCTCTTCATGGCCCCCCAGATTGCAAGTACTATGAGGGTGGGTGCTGTGTCTTACTTGTTGCAAGGTCTCTAGGGCCTAGCACAGTGCCCGGAACCTAGTAAGTGGTAGCAAGTATTGTGGGGTGAGTCAGTGAATAAATGCTCAAGGACTCAACGAGGTTTCTATTAATGCAGGTATTTTTGGAGTGGTCTCCTTTATCCTCTGGGATTGTTTATTTGCTTATCTATTTGCAGAGGAAAATGAGATTGCAATGATGTGTTCTGGGAGCAATGCCTCTGTGTTTCCCAGCCCCACTGCCTGCCACTGCGGACATGCAGCCCAACCCATGGGGCTTCTTCTTGGCTCAGGGCCCTGCTCCCAAACTCCTTTGTGCAGGGTGAGCCCCAGAGCCCCTTGCTCGAGTGTCTGCCCAATGCTGGTCGCTGGATGAAAACCTCTCTTTTTCCACTCAGCACAATGTCCCCATTATAGCCCCTATCCAGGGAAATGACACATGCCTGCTGGTCCACCCTGGGCCCCGGAAAGCAGATAGAGATCTGAGTGGCGGCTGCTGGGAGAAGGAGAGTTTCATGGCTGGATGAAAACCTCTCCTTTTGTTGTACCTTCAGGTTTCGGTTCCAAGGCACCTGGCTCCTACCTGCACCCAGGCCACAGGTTCACCTTCAACTGTCACAGAGCCCGGAGCACTGTTGTGTCTGGAGGAAAAGGAGCTTTTATTCTTGTGCCCCAATGCTGCACATCCCTTCCCCTCAGGTCCTTCCTCAAGAAAAGAGCACTCTTGGCCCCTTAAGTGAGGCTCACAGGCCGAAGTGCCCACAGGACCAGTCAGGGGAGGTCTGTGTGTGAGCTGACCACCTGGCAAAGCAGAGCACTCTTGTTCCAGCTGAAAGGCCAGGAGCCAGCAACTCAGGGAAGTGTGGCCAGGGGGAACATGGGCCTGGAGTGGCCAGATCTTAAGACTTTTCAGAAGAACCCGGGAGTCCAGATTTCAGCTTTTGATTTTAAAATGTTGGTAACTAAGTTCAACTGGTTTAAAACATTGCAAGGGTCAACTAAAATACCCCTGTGGGCTTAAGCTGGCATACAGCCTATGCCTTTGGAACCCTGAGAAAAACTGTGGGTCCATGAAGACTTCTAGAGAGTCTGTCCAGCTGGGTGCCTCTACCTGGGGGCCAAGGTGATACCCAACCCTTAACACTGCAGCAGGGACTAACTCTCTTTTGTCTTTTTTTTTTTTTTTTTTCACGGCACGCGGGCCTCTCACTGTTGTGGCCTCTCCTGTTGCGGAGCACAGGCTCCAGACACGCAGGCCCAGCGGCCATGGCTCATGGGCCCAGCCGCTCCGCGGCATGTGGGATCTTCCCGGACCGGGGCACGAACCCGTGTCCCTTGCATCGGCAGGCAGACTCCCAACCACTGTGCCACCAGGGAAGCCCCCAAGGGACTAACTCTCTTTTGAAAGGCTGTGCTGCATGCTCCCTGTTCATCTCTAGGCTGCAGGCTGATGCCAGGGTGCAGAGTCCAAAGCGAATTTCTTAAACCTGGAACTAGAAAAACTTTAGAGCTGAGAGGAGCCTGAGAGATAAGCCAGTCTGATTGCTTCGTTTGTCCGATGAGGAAACTGAGGCCAAGAGAGGGGAAGAAAGCTTGCCTGAAATCACACAAGATCTTAGAGACAGAACCAGGAGTGGTGCCCAGGGCGCTAGACTTGATGTCAGGTTCTGCCACATACAGCTGTGAAACCTTGAATGAATTACTTATCAAAGGCTCAGCCATGAATGAATTACTTATCAAGGGCTCAATTTCCTCATCTGTAAAATGAGGATGAAAGTCTTACCCAGAGGATTAAGTGAGATCTGTAAAGTGCTTAGTGTAAAAATGCAAGTTATTGTAATCAAGTGGGTTTCCTCTGGAGACATTGTCAGATGCTTATGGAAATACTAAGGAACACTGAAATCTCAGCCACACGTCTAGGCTGCCCCCTGCAGGGAGTTTTGTGTAAACCAGACCATTGGAAATGTGATAGATTCTGCCAGCTTCCTCCTTCCCTGTAGGAACATCTGATACCCTTAGATACGAGGACTATGGAGCTTCTAGCTCCTGTTACCCACAGAGTCTGAGAAGGGGTGGCATTTTGTAGGTATATTTTAAAAAATTAAATAGTGCTGTTATTTTGTCAGAAGGACAAATTGACAGTTTCTCCTGATCCAGGTGGGCAAGACCCTGTGTGCTAGGCAGTCCCATTTCTTTTGTATGACAATGAATTCTTTATCTACAAGAGAGCTTTGGGAGCAAAAAAGGCTTTTGGTCCAGGCCCTACAAGCACTTTCCATGACTGACCGAGGCACATTTTGACCCCTTCACACGTGCTCACTAGGCTTCCCTAGTGAGTCCCATGGCCCGTCGGTCACTTTGGCGGGGGCAGATGCCTGCACTACTAAAACTGGGATCGCATGATCTCCCTCACACAGAGAGCAAAGCTGACAATATTAATTCACCCTGGGGGCCACTGTGTTTGTCACAGCTCCGTTAGTGGCAAGTGACATAATCACAACTCAAACCAGCTAAAACCAAAAAGGCAGTTTATTAGCTCAGAAGGTAACTGGGGATTTGAAGGGTGAAGTTGGATTTAAGATAAGCTTAGATCCAGGAACACAAACAGAGTGGTTGTTACTTTCTTTCCACCTCCTGACTCCACCCTCCTCTGTTTAGTCTTCAGGTGGTGTCTCAATCTGTAGCAAAGAAGGCCACAAGGCTCCAGGCCTGCACACCTTTACTGGTGGAAATTAAGGTGAGAAAGGCTTGCCTCTCATCCTGTAGTTCCAGCACCGGCCCAGAGGGGGCACTGATTGGGTGAAGCACCTGATCTAAGAATGGGGGAGATGCTGAGCAAACACACCTCCCCTGCAGCCAGGTGCTGTGCCTGAAGCACATCATTCAGTCCTTACCAGCTAATGAAATAAGTGCTGTTATTCCTGTTTTGCAAGTCTAATTTCATGTGGTGTATTAGTTTGCTAGGGTTGTTGTAACAAAATACCACAGACTGGACTTCCCTGGTGGTGCAGTGGTTAAGAATCTGCCTGCCAATGCAGGGGGCATGGGTTCGATTCCTGGTCCGGGAAGATACCACATGCCACGGAGCATCTACGCCCGTGCACCACAACTACTGAGCCTGCGCTCTAGAGCCTGTGTGCCACAACTGCTGAGCCTGCGCTCTAGAGCTCGCAAGCCACAACTACTGAAGCCCGCGCGCCTAGAGCCCGTGCTCTGCAACAAGAGAAGCCACTGCAATGAGAAGCCTGTGCACCACAATGAAGGGTAGCCCCCACTCGCCACAACTAGAGAAAGCCTGCACACAGCAACGAAGACCCAATGCAGCCAAAAACAAAACAAAATAAAACAAAAACCCCCCAAAACATATTAGTACCACAGACTGGGTGGTTTAAACAATGGAAATTTATTTTCTCCTGGTTCTAGAGACTGGAAGTCCACAAGCCAGGTGTTAGCAGAGTTGGTTTCCCCTGTGGCTTCTGTCTTTGGCTTGCAGATGGTAGCCTTCCTGCTGCCTCATCACCTGGTCTTTCCTCTGTGCACCTACATCCCTGGCGTCTCTCCCTGTGTCCTACTCTCCTCTTCTTATAAGGATATCAGTCAAATTGGAATAGGGCTCATCCTCACAGCCTCATTTTAACTTATCACCTCTTTAAGGGCCCTGTCTCAAATACAGCCACATTCTGAGGAAATGGGGGTTAGGGCTTCAACAGATGAATTTGGCGGGGGGACACAGTTTAGCCCATAACCCTCTCTAGTAAATGGTGAGGCTGAGATTTTTACTCAGAGAGGCTGAGTCTAGCCATGGTGCTGCCATGTTTCTGCCACAGCTCAGGGTAGCGCCCACATAGGCAAAGTGTTTACAACCCAGACCAGCAGTGGGAGGGATGGTATCCAATGAAAACCTTAGCAAACAGGAAGTCCCTGGTGGAATATGAGAGTTTTGGCTCCCTGGGGTGGCTGGGGCTAACCAGATCCTGCCTGATTGTCAAAGTACTTGTGTTTTCTTTTCCCTGAAGCATCTTCAGTTTGTTTTCCTTTAACTTCCTGAAGACCAGTCCTCATGAAGAAAGTGAGGGAATACTCATCCTTACTTCCCTCCCACTTCTGTCAGAGGGAACAATATTTCCCAAAGTGTGGAATTCAGACTAGTGCTGAATATGTAAGGTAAGTGTAGATGTGACTCAGGCCAACATACTTGAAGAGTTATGAATTTATTTGAATTTGCATTAACAGCATAAAATTGGTCCTTATTTGATATTGATAAACAGAAGAGTTAGGAACAAGTCAATTGAAAGAAAAATATCACATAAATATCATTAAGTAAATAAATAATCTGATGAAACTTGTGGAGGTGGTGTTTGAGTGACTGAAATTTGGGAAACACTAGGATAGTTTACCCCCGAGGAGGAAACCCTTTTGGTTATGGGCATAGATGCCCACCTTACTTTTTTGACCTGATTTATCTATACTCTTGGCCCTTATTTGCCCTGAGGACTAGCCGTGGGGGCGACTGCAGGCCTTTGGTGTCTCTGCCCATGCCCCTGTGCCAATCACATTGGAGGCCAGGTGAAGAGGCAAGTGGACGCTTGGGTGATAGTGAGACGCCAGCCCTTGTCGTCATGGCTTCTGGGTTTTATTTATTTAGAGTCTTGCTCTAGGGCTTCTGAATAGCTTGGCAGTGGCCCACAGCTCTGTATGTAAAAGCAGGTATTTATCACTGTGAGATCAAGAGTTTTGGCAACTTGAAGTCTGATGTGGAATGAAGTATTTAAAATTTAATTACACATGGGGCATTAACAGAATTGGCATAACTCTGCAAACTCAATTCGTAATCTCTGAATTCTCGCCGTGCTTTGTTACCCTTAAATTCCAAGCCCTTCTACTCCACATTTGGCTCTGTTCAGCGGCCAGCTGCAGCTGCTGACGCCATCCACAGCCAGACCCCCTGCTTCCACACCACGTGCCTGGTGCGGACGAGCAGCTCTGGATACAGGAGAACTGGCTGCTTGTCCTCATCTGCTCAAGTGCTCAGTGGGCCTGTTCTGTGGCTGCAAAATGCAACCATTGTATTGGCTTTAAGCTCTAACCTTCTGTGATTCCTGTGGCCCCCCAGGTAGTGTTCTGCTTTATTAACATAAGGTTGTGCTCCAGTGTCCAGAGAGGTCATGTGCACAGGTAAAGGGGTCCCTTCTAGAACTTCAGAAAGTCAGACACAAAATGTTGTTATGTCTGTCCAAAAAAAGAAAGATGGTTTATAGCAGCAATTCTCAAACTTCACTGTGTGTGTGAATCACCTGAGAGTCTTATTAAAATATGGGTTCGGGTCTTCCCTGGTGGCGCAGTGGTTGAGAGTCCGCCTGCCGATGCAGGGGACACGGGTTCGTGGCCCGGTCTGGGAACATCCCACATGCCGCGGAGCTGCTGGGCCCGTGAGCCATAGCCGCTGAGCCTGCGCGTCCGGAGCCTGTGCTCCACAACGGCAGAGGCCACAACAGTGAGAGGCCCGCGTACCGCAAAAAAAAAAAAGAAAAAAAAAGCGTTCGGATTGAGTAGGTTGAGAGGGGGCCTGAGATTCTACATTCCTCACAAGCTCCCTGGTGACTCCAGTGCTGCTGGTTGGGGACCACACTTTGAGTGGCTAGACTTAGAGCAATTCTCCCTGCTTCTGGTAGGTTAACAACCATAGTGCAAGCCACACAGTCTCCACGAAGCCTGCATTAATGAGAGGTGTCCTCCCATTCCCTCTGCATGTTCTGGTCTCTGCCTGCCTTCCCACCTCTTGTGATGTCACTCTCCCCTTCCTTTGCTTTGCCCCAATGTATTTTAGTTCCTCAGGTACATCAAGCTTTTACTCATCTCAGTGCCTTTGCATACGCTGTTCTCTGTGCCCAGAATGCTCCCATCCCCACTTTTCCCTTGGTACTTTGTTGTCATCCTTCAGTACGGGCATGAAGTGAGTTTCTTTCTGCTCCTCTTTTTTGGTGCCCTATTTGTGTCTCTGTGGCAGTTAACTTTGTGAGCCATCTCTTTTTCTGTTTACTTATTTACAATCTGTTTCCTCTTTTAGACCAGAGCTACATGAGAGCTCACACCTGCCTTGCACACACAGTTGTATCCTCCGTGCTCCTGCTTCACAGCAGATGCTCAATAAGTAAATATTTGCTGGGCCTGTGTGTAGCCAGGGAGCAAGGGAACATTCTTGAGTCTACTTTTGCAAATTTGAGCCACCTGTTTCAAGGGGCTGTGGTGGGGATGATACTTAGAAGAATCATAGAATGAAAGGTCAGAAAAGGAGCTCCCTTTAAGCCACATCTCATCATCAGAGATGTCAAAATGTGAAAAAAGTATATATCTTAGAATGGATGAAATAAAGTAAGTGTAATGTTTCTTAAACAGTTATGTCAAAATTTGCAACATTAAATTAAACAAAGAACTTCATAGGACTTTTGGCAATGTGCTTGTGATTCTTTGAGGGGAGAGACAGTGGCTGTGGCCGAGACTCTGATTCACTTACCCAGTGGCCATTCCCTGTCTGCCCCATTTCTCTTCTTTGCCAATGGGGCACCTGCCTCCAACTATCGAGGCTGAAAATGCCAATTACTCAATTTCCCATCTGTTTTTGTAGCAAGGGCATGAGCCTCTTCCGCAGTTCTGCCAGCAGAACCTGCAGAGAAGCCTACTGAGGACTTCTGGGAAGGTTTTTCTGCTTAAAAGAGACACTCAAAGGGAAATTTCTTTCCTGGTTTTTGATGTGATTGTGTGAGGACATGATGCCTAGAGCCACAGCAGGCTCTTGTAAACCTGAGGAGTCACACCTGAGAATGGTGGAGTGGAGCAATGCAAAGAGCCTGGGCAAGGATGGAATAAAGAGGTGCCAAGAATCTGGGCTCCCGACAGCATCACTGAGCTGCTGAATCACTGAGCTGCTGAATCGACTAGCCCTGCACCTTGGACCTCTCTCTGGTTGTGGAAGATGATATGTGTTCTCCTCGTTTAAGCCACTTTTTTTTTTTTTTTTTTTTTTTTTTTTTTGTTT